TAGAGTGTTAAAAATATACATACTATTACTTTATTTGAAGTCATCCTTTATTATAAATCCAAATAATATAATCTATTCAGTTGACAGCATGATTTGCTGCAAATAGATCCTTATATCTGAATATAAATCCAATACAAATCAGTTATCTTGACTAATGCAGTGTGAGCTTAGCAAACTTAATTTCTAACTTGCTACCATCAAAGTGGCCACTTTTACACTAATGTGAGTTAATTTATGAAGTGCTACATTTTGAAATATTTAATTATTAAAATCCTTAATAAAAAAAAGAAATAAAAATCATAAATGCTTTTCCAAAATCATTTTTTAAAAGGTATTTAGGGATATGTTTAATATAACTTTCATGCATTCGAAATTAATTGCATCGCATTAAGGTTTTTTTTGTTAACATTCTGGCACTTCTTGAATTCCATAAGTTTGATCCCTATATGTGACATTTAGTGCGCAAACAGAAAAGATCACAGACAGATCTGAGAGAATTTTGTTTTAAAGCAATGTTATGCTATAAAACAATACTTTAAGCTTTGAAACATCTCTGAGAGCATAGTTCACTGTAACATAAAAAACAAAACAAACAGTACGGTAAAACTACAAACTAACCAACCTCCTAAACCAGGACACAGTTTAAGAACAATTATTCAAGAAGCAGTCAGTAAATACAGAGAAGCCAGTGTGTGCTTGGTAAAGTGGATGAAGAAAAGCTTGTTAAAGGCTGCAAGAGTTAAGAATAGATCCATAGTTCCCTTTCCAGAAGGACAAAGAAAAAGAAGCTATTAACATGGAGCATTGTGCATTTGTTTTATTGCGCTGACCTGAACTGTTACCATGTTTCATTGTATAACAAGGAAACCAACTTTGGTTCACCTTTGCTCTCAATGCTCTCAAACATTTTTAATACGATAAACTATTTTTTTGTAAATATGTATACAGTTCCAAGAGGAAGACATTGTTTGATGATTGCAACTAGACTTGGTATCCTAATTCACCTGAAAGATCCAGATTGAGAAGAAAGGTTTAACATTTATCCATGTTTCAGGTCCTCTTTCCTGGCCATTTGACCTACATTGGATGGAGGGTCATTCAGCCCATGACCCTACTTACAGACCAAGAACAGTAATATATCTTTTTAACTGAAATAGGTTCAGCCAACTCTATCCTCTTGGAGCATCTCTCATATCTAAATATTAGTTTTTTGGTAGTCTAATTTAGGAATCATCTAAAACAAATTAGTTCGCTTTTCCAACTCCATTTTTATACAACTGGGATTTTATGGTGTCAAACTATTAAGCAAATAATCAGCATCGACTCCAAAGGATCTTCTACTCAATGTCATAACACCAAGATCAATCTCATCTCATCTGCTCACATGTAGGTGGTATTTACCAATAATTTTAACTTCTCCCCCAAAACAGATTTTATTCTCCAAAACGGCTTTAATCATGTTTCTTTTTCACTTGGTGAACTTTGTAAGGCCAAAAGTGAAATATTTTCATCACCAAGTAACCTTTAAAAGCAAATAAAGACCAGAGATATACCATTATTAACCAAATTGATTTATTATGCATGAACAAATCCCTTCCTGCCTCTTTCACACAGACACAAACACGCATTCGCACGCACGCCTGACATTTAAATACATGTGGTGAAACCTCGGCATAGCTGACTTTGTTGTTGCACATGCTTTAATAAACGATAGATATATTTACAGGATAAGCAATGTCTACAAACAAAACGGTCCAATCCTGCAGCATTTTTGCAACACCTGCTAATCGCTTTTGATTTATTTTGAAAAATTCACCCACATTCAAAAATAAAACTATAGAAAGTAATGAAACAAAAAAAACAAACGTTGGGGGGAGGGGGGGTTGGCCAATACGACATAGCATTTGCATGTATATGGAGTTCATCCACTACATAAATATGGCAGTAACACTGAGTAATTTCTTGGGTCTATGTACAGGTTTGTGATGTGGGGGAACATTTAGTCTCTGCATGGACGACTGAAGCAACGAATGCCTTCTTTTAAGACTGGGGTGGGGAGGGGTGGGGGCTGAGTGTAGGAACAAAACGGACACCTCCATCCTTCCACTCACCTTCTGCTCGAGCCATCGGCGCTGACGCAACAAACGAAATAAGGCACGATTAATACTTGGACCATTATTCAGGGGAATCTACAGACCTGCAGCTGGCTTGTGAGGCATGTAAACAATTTTTCAATTGATTAGAACTGCCTGATCACCTTCCCTTTTGCCCCCAACAATCAGCGATTTAGTCCATCTGATGAGATTTTAAACAAGCTTCATGTAGCAAAGACCTTTGACCCCCCCCGCAAAGAAATATGAAAAGGGGAAAAAAAAAAAAAAAAAAAAAGGTGGCTGGAACACTGTCCCCTCTATGCTACTTAACAAATACAATCACATGGTGACAAACAAAGAAAACTAGTAGTGCATACACTACAAACACAGATAAACGCAAAGCCTGCCAAACTTCCCTTGGTCAGGCCGCAGGAACGACCTTCTTATCCAGGAGGGAGGGACGCGATCTGAATAGAAAAAAAAAAAAAAAAAAAAAAAAAAAGAAAAAAAAGAGTGACCGATTAGTTTTCCAAAGCTGAAGCGGATTCAGTTGCTGTGCGTCTAAACCGAAGACTAAAAGATAGAAGTGTTTCCCACGGCGCGCCATGATTATCCCGGACCAGACGATTCCTGACTGACCTCCATCCGACATTTCTCCTGCCTCAACCAATCAGCAAGATGCTTTGGGGTTTTGTGTCAAACTACATCTAACAGCCCCCAGATGTTTTAGCTGTCAAATAAAATAAAGCTCCTCCAAGCCTTCTGATAGCTTTCTGTTGGCGTTCATCTTCGTAGGATGACGAGGGGGAGAGGAGGTCTGGTTGCCAAGACTTTAATCCTTCCCTTCCAACGCTGCCGCAGCACCAGACGGATTCAGAGTTTCGGGACAGGGACTAGAGAAGAGAGTGACTGGTGAACGGGGCAGGAGGATGGGTAGACGGTCTGGTAGTCCAGGGTGGTCTGGTACAGCTGTTTGGGGGCTTCTGGCTTTGGTAAGTGGGATGGGAACAGCTCAGTCATGCTTCAGGTGGTCCTTGATGTCCTCCTCGTCCGTGTACTCTGACGGCTCGTCTCCTGGCTTCAGCAACCTCCCAACGTAGTCATATTTTTCTAAAAACACCACAAAGAGAATCAATGACAGACTAAATTCTATTTTCCCCTTTCCAGTCAAATATTTAGGGGTCAAAAAGTTTGGCAGAATACTTTTTCTCCTTAAAGTTCACTAACATTTTGGCATCGATGAAATTCAACAATCCTGAGGGGTCAATAGAAATGCTTTGCTCCATTTAAAAACTTGAGACAATGCATTTTATTCCAAAATGATCAAGGTATAAAAACTATTTCAAAACCTTATAGCTCGTAATGGACAGCTTTGTTTTATGGAGGAAAAACAGAAGAAAAAATTTACTTTTCTCAGCAGCCAGAACTTTCAGCTTGTTTAAAGGAATTCTTAACGATTTTTATCAGCAAATTCTAGTCTAAAAAAGAAAAAAAAAACACAATTTTTCTAGCTTAAATGGAAAAATCCTCTAGGAATTTACAAAAGGGCTGCAACTTAGATTTCTTTTTTAGTGAATGGAACCCTGTTAAGCTTAAATTATGCCACATAAAGAGCGCTGGATATTTGATGACAGAGATTTCATCTTAAATGCAAAATGTTAACATATTTTGTAGTTTTTACTTAACTTCTGGTCTTGGTCTTTCTGCAAAAGCCATGTTTAAGAATCTGTGAACTCCACTTTAACTTTAATCATTTACCACATTAGTTGACAATGATTTCCATAATCAGAATTAATCAGCTTTAATTTCTTGAAAGTTTCCCATATAGCTCAGGTTGGATGGATGGAAGACAATAAAACATTTTCAAAAGTTTCCAGTTTTTGAACCAATCAAATCTTTGAAAGAAGAAATTGTCTTCATATTTTTCTTTATTTTTAATTATTAGTTTACAGAACTTTAACATAAATAAGTAGACGTAATGTGTGAATTCTTTAGCAGTTTCACTTGTTCATAAATAATGTAATTCAACTCTTAATGCTAGAAAATAAGCCGGCACTGCAGCAGGGGTGGTTTATAAAATTAAAAAGGGCTTTAGAGGCTTATTTAAGTTTAAAATGTTAACTATAGACTTGCTAATAAAACTAACCTCTAATCAAAAGATTTCAGTTTAAATTTAGACAATAATATCTCAGATTTCTACTTAAAAGAAAACTTTCTTTCCTTTTTTTTTAATGGGCTGCAGGGTTAAAGCCCACTCTAATCTGAGGAATAAGATGTTATAAAAATAAGGTTGTGTTTACCCAAATTTTTTTCTTTCAAAAAACAAAAATGTTTGCTTATGTAGTGGAGGTCAGGAGAAACTTAACTTGGATTATGCAGACTTTTTAAAATGGAGGTGTGGACATCCAAAGGAACCTACCTTGGAACTGCATCTCCCACTCCCTCACACTCTCCATCTGTACTGCGTTGAGGTCTGACAAGTCGTCATACTCATCCCTCAAAGCGTCTTTTTCCAGGCAGAAGGTAGCCAGGCCCCTTGAAGCATCCCGGCCAGCGAAGATACCGTAAGGGCCGTCTGGAGAAACAAAAGCATGATGGGCAGCATTAGAAGAGTTTCTCAATCCTTCGATACAAATGTAAAAATTGACATTCCAGGGAAGATGTTAAATAGTTTAAAACAAAGGAGAAAAAAATGAAAAGTCTATAGATACGGTTTTAGAAAGGCTTCAATTCTGACCTTGGCAATGAACTCAGTCCTGCATCTGATGGCTTCTTATTTTATTTTACATTAAACCTTTAAACATGTATCTGAACCATCAAAGCAGCAACATAAATATATTTTCCCCATCTATACTGGCAGCAGATTTTAGACATGTTTATTACCTGTAAATAAACATGAAACCAAATATACTACATTGTGGCCATAAGAGCTGGGTGCTTCTCATGCTTTACAAGAAAACCTTGTGTTACATTAGATCAGTTTAAAACCAGCTGATGGACAACAAAATGTTTATAAAACATTTCAATCAAAAATAAAAACATTTTAACAGTAACAGGTTGATGAGCAGGACTGTAACCAGAATTGGGCCTATAACTTAGGCATGGGACAAAAGTTCATAAAGTTCCCTAATCTCAAGACTAATTTCTAGATTATTTTCTGTAGCTTTTATTGTTGGACATAAGAAAATGCATTAACCTCAAACCTCATTTAAAACCAGTTGCATCTTATCTGTGTATTCCACAACTGCCAAGGAATGAAGTGTTAAGTGTTTCTCCAGATCCTAGTTTACTCTGTTTATAGAGCATGTGTTCACTACCCCAGCATGTGTCTGCCAACGGCATTACCTTCGACTCACCCCCCAAAGCAGACAACCTTTCTACTTTTAAGACAAGGCTTAAAACTTTTCTTTCTGATAAGCATCTACTTAGAGAAGCTCAGGTCAATCTGAGCAATCTCCATTGCTATGCTGCTATATGTTTAGACTGCTGGAGGACATAGTGCCCACTTTTCTTTACCGTTTCTCTTCTCCCATTCTGCAGTATTTGTTAGTTCTACCCCTAACTTTTTGTTCTCTCTGATTTTCCTTTTCATATTAAATTATTCTGGTCTGTTCCCGTTTAGCTGTGAGATCATCCTAGAAGGAAGCATCAGCTGGGCTGCTGTTTTCAATAGTTGTTCATGATTGGGCCAGTTTTTCAGTGCTTAGTCTTGTTTCTCTCTTAGAGATAGCTGCCGGCACAGCTTTTGCTGTGATTAACTGTATCTGCTCTTTATCATCCTTTGGACATGAAAACTGGCTCAAATCTCAGTTATTTTGTTGTTTTTGCTGTCCTATGGAGCTAGCTTACTGTTGCATTCTCCAAGATAGAAATATTCCTGAATCACTGCTTTTACCGGTATGTTCCTTTTGTATGTATGCTTCAGTCTTCTTGAACCCACAGTCGACCTCTGCAGAAGTCAGCTTACAGTGAGCTTGGTTTCTCTGGAGGTTTCTTTTTGTTAAAAGGAATTATTCTTCTCCGCTGTCGCTGAAGGCATGCTCACGTAAGGGCTGCAGAGGCAACGACATGATGCAAGTGAACATCTCCTGTAAGTATGTTCTCAATCAGGAGAAGAGAATCCTAAAAGCCAGTAACTGGATGCAATCAGCTGGCTTTTCTTAGATAAAAATATTTTAATCGATCTGATAAAATTATCTCTGTAAAGAGAATAGAGAGGAAATGCTCTTAGAATTTATGCTTCATAAATAAACTGAATCTAAGTCCTACAATTGCTTTGTTTCCAGTCCTATTAAAACACATCTAAACTGCACTCTACAGCAGAAGAAAGCTAAACTGATCACATACCTAGTGTTAGCATTTTTCACTTCCAAGTATTTCATAAAAAAACAGATTGGGGAAAAGGGTATTACTTTCCACACATTAAGCATTTACTTTAAAGTAGTACTTAATCAAGCTGGTGTGTATTTCAGAATCTTTAACAGAACTATCAGTATATGACAGTAAAGCTAATACAATATCTGCGCTGCAGTGTTTATTATCTAGGGGCAGTCATACTCCAACATCTACAAAGATAAGGACCAAAATGCAAGAAGCCTGAACAGAACCTTACACCCTCCAAAATAAAAAAATAATAAAAAGGGTCTTGTTTATCCTGTAAATGTGACATGTTAACGTATCTAAGAGCTACAGAGTAGAATTTGTGCCCTGTTTCAAAGCAGCAGGGCAGGTCTGTTGGCAGACATGCACCACAAAGAGAGAGGTGGAGATAGGAGTGGTTCACTTCATACACTTAAATACTGAAAGTACTGAGAGCAAATATGTAAACATGAAACTACGAAACTTGTGTTACAATCAAGGTATTTAGCCTTTAACAAAAAACATCTGAACCAGAACATTTGTATACAAATAAACTGGAAGAGCCTGTTTTTCAAAAACAAAATATGGTCTAGTACTTCAACAGAAAAAAACCCAAAAAACCTTTACTTGGATAGCAACTAAAAGTCAGTAAATTACTGCTGAGCCTTTTATGGTTTTCCAAGAGGCGCATCATCTGACTCTCATATGAAAACTCTCATACCCTTTAGGTTTTTTTCTGTGGTTTATTGAGAAACTAAGAATAGATGGAATCGACAGAGTTCAAATTGTGACATAAAGACGTGAGAAAATGACACCAAAGTCAGCAATCTGTTTGCAGTATTTTTTGCAACTTGACCAAAGAGCAGTTCTACTAAATTCTTCCTCTGCTCAGCTCTTGCTCAAAATCCTAAATATTCGGAGTGTCCAAACAGGAACTTGAGTAAGCTAATCAGACTCATCTTTGATGCTTTTATTTGCTATTCAGCCCTGGAAAGATGGAGCCAACCTTCCTTCAACAAAAAATAAAATAAAACTGATAGTGGTCAGGAAGTCAAATCTGAACAGGACCATTTAAATCAAGATTTAAAATGTGTATTTAAGACATTACACAAATAGAATAAAGAGTTCCAGCTTATGTTTTAGTTTTTATATCTAAATGTTAAGCAAAGGTGACTTCTAGCCAATAAAAGCTTAATATTTTGCTTTTTATTTTAGATTTATGAATTAAAAGCTAAAAAAAAATCAGCTGCTAACTTCAGGATAGTCCTATGAAGGGATCTACTGAGGGAAGGACTGTTGTGAAGCAAAACAAACTGGCCTTTTTAATTAGATAAAACACCTGAATCACATATTTACTTAAGTTTGATCAGTTAAGCTTTAGGCAGCCTTCCCTACACATGTCCACCACCCATATGTTGTATAGACCAACAGTAATGTTCACAATGTTAAAGCTTTAAATCATTGTAAACAAACGACAGACCCAGACTAGACAGCAAGCTTGTGCTGTCTCTGATAATGTCAACAGGCTAGCAGGCTAACATTAGCATAACAAATTCCCTCTGGGTTCAAACAAAGCTCCCAAACTAATTCGGTGTATCTGCTTCACTGGCAATACAATGTTAGCATGAGTGGAAATGTAACCGTTAGAAGTTACAGACTCGAGATGTATGCTAACAAGCTAGCTGCTACCACTCCATTCAAAATCACACAAAGCCAAGGAGCTAAGCTAGAGCGGTTTGCGCCCAATTTTTGGTCCACAATCACCACAGGCGGCAACGTGTCAACTAACTCCACTGTCCTACACTTTCCGTCCGCAGTTGCTTCACCTTTTCCATAAAACTTTTTGCCGCTGGTGACGTCGAAAACTTTCATGTTCACGGCCATGAGGATGCGGGGGTTCTGGACACCGTCGTACTCCCGCAGCTGCTCCAATGTGAAGTCCCGTCTCCTCATCTTGGTAAGCATCGGGGCCTCGTCGCCATGGGCCCCGTCGGATACGAGCCGCCTGCCCCACCGCCGGTACACCGCCAGACAAACCGCAACAACCAGGATCAAAACGGTGATATTTAGGAACATTCCGCCCAAGCTGAGCCCGTCTGACTCCTCCGCCGCCCCCTGCCCGCCGTTTGTGTCAACTGGTCCGCTCGAACTGTCTCCATCGTCCGCCATGCTGCACAGTTTGCGCTTACCCGCCCCTGGCAAGCTGAGGCGTTCAGGTGCAGTCGGGAATAACAGTACCACTAGTTGAGTGAGCGTTCAAGTGTCGGAAACTAGTTCACCCAGACCAAGACCCCCAGAGACAGTTAAAAGGGCGGGATTATTCAAGACATAAACAATGAGAGTCTTCTCCGAGAATGTTGATACAGAAGTCTGTCAAATATACGAAAAGTAATAAAGGGGGAAAAAAATGCGATTCGACAACCATAAAATTCTTGATAAATAAGAAAATATGAACATTTACTACAAACGACGAGGGAATAACAATGGCATCTGATTGAGGGGTTTATAGACTTTTTAAATGTTGCATCTTGTTATTTTCTTACTGTGGCACCCAAAGGTAGATTTAAATCTTATGGAAGCCCGTTTTCGCTACATGAAAGTAAAAAAAAATAATTAAAATGTGACATTTTAAATCACATTTACAAAGGTTATTCTTTATTCAAATGTCTTTTTAAATGTACATTTTTCTTTTAAGACTTTTTTTTTTTTTTGCTTTAGCTTACCCTCTCCATTTACCTTTTTTGTGGCCCTCCTGGTCTCTGAGGGAACATTAACTGTTCGAATTAAGCTATTTATACTCAGAATTATTTATTTTAATTTTTAAATCTCCATTTAGAAATAGGATTTTAAAATAATTCCACAAATTCCAGTAATTAATAATGGATTAATACATATAATTTAAAATTCCCCTTTAATAATTAAATTCGCAATGCGCAATTTCAAAATGCTTTTCAGATTGGATTGCAAGTTGCAGTCCAATAAAGGGACTTTTTTGGACTGCTTACAACACAAATATGAATCCAGGCCTTCCTTCAGTTTAGACACCTTTGCATGAATTCTTCCAATGGTTCCATCAGACCCTAGACCAGTGACTGGAAAACCAAATCTTGCAGGTTACCAGTGACTACCTATACTTATAGCACTTTTTTTCTCAAGTCAGGAGACTTAAAGCACTTTACACTACATTCAGTCATTCATGCACATACTAAATTACATTACATTGTAGCCACAGCTGCCCTGGGGCTCACTGACAGGAGTGAGGCTGCCGCACACTGTTGCCCAAATAGTGACTCTTCACAGATGATTCGCTAATAAAACATTTTGTTTATAACATACTCAATTAACGTAGAATTTTGGCTTCGAGACAGAGGCTACTAAAAATGTTTTGGTTAATCTGATGTTTAAGGTACGCAGCGATACAGTATATTTAAGCCCTGATTGTAATTCTCTATACTGCAACCAAGAGAAAGCCAATACCATAAAAGGTCTCTCTGTACTACAACTCTAGTGATTACATTTCTTTTATTTTTCGTATATTTTAGATTATGATACATTTTCATTTTAGCATTAAGTATGCATGTCATTTACCTGTCAGAGTGAATCACTTAAAAAAATCAGGTGTAATAAAATAAAAACTGTTGTTGGCAGATTACAGATAACTTAATGTTTTGTGTTAATTAGTTTAGTATTGTATTTTATACAATGAGAATTACAGGGCAGCCCATGTTTTTGTTTTACACTATTTGGAGTGATGTTTAGTACAAATATATACATAGAAATCTTTATTTAAAAGGTTATTTTCCAAATAAAAAAAAAATTAGTATATTTAAAAGACCTGCTGAAATGTGTGACACAAATTATAACAGTAAGCCACTTTAATAAATCAATCAATTTATCTATATTATATATGTCGCATATATAAGGGAAGCAGTCGATCTTTTTTTGATTTGGTGTTTAGGTATCTTTCAAAATTTTTTTCTTTTGTTCACCCATCCTCCACTCGTTTTATAACCTCACACCTCTGTTCTTGGCATTTTTGGGGAGGTGGCATTTAATTTGAAGCCAGTCGAATGAGTAGTGAGTGAAGATGATCCGACTTGAATTATTTCACTGAGCCTTGGATGGGAACAAAAAGCTGCTGATCAGGTTAGACGATTCGCCCTCAGCAACACTTTAAGGGAAAAAAAAGAGAAACCTTACCAAACAAGTTCATACAATCAGTTTTATTCATTTTTTTGTGCATTTTACAATTCAAGAACATGCAACTCTTAATCCTGAAACACTCAAAACACGCTAATAATAAATCACTTCTTCAAATCAAATGAATATGGAATAGTAAATGATTTTTTTTATAGTATTTACATTTTTTTTTTATTCAACTCAAACCTTTTAATCCATAAGTAAAGGAAAGTTAACATTTAAAGTGCTCTAGAGCACCAAGCCTAAAACATAATGAAGTAAACTTTGAGCTAAAATATACTGTAGTTTTATGACACTAGCTAAAACCCATAATTCCAGCAGAAACATTTCATTTTGTATTATATTCAATGCACAGGCTAGTAAAAACAGCAATGATCACCTAAGACTATTACATGAATCAAGTCGATGAAAAATAAAAACAAAAATAAAACAATAAATTAAGCAATCTCTGGGTGTAAAAGGGGACTTAAAGCTTCCCAGAAAAAAAATAAAAGGATGATTTCTGCAGCTTTAGAATTAAAAAAAGAAGCATATTTTAGTTTGAATGTGATATGTTGCAGTCAGGCTGAGAAACATCTGGGGAGGGGCAGCATCTGGGTCAGTCCTTCACAAATCAATGATCGAACCTGATTGTCACCATGGAAATGGAAGGTCTTGTCCAAGGAGGGGTGGAGCCTGTGACTCCTTTCAACCCCAAACAAGGAAGACCTTTAGATATTAAACACTGTTGACATCATGATGGATAAGATTAAGGCACACATGACTATCTGCAGTATCTCTCATCTTGGCAAACTACAATCACAGTTCAACAGCGTCCTACAGAGCGGTTTACAGCGATCAACAGACCACAGAGTTTGGCATCTGAGAGATAAAAGGCAAAATGCGGGGAATGCATTTTTTTTTTGTTTGTTTTGTAAACGTTATGAGCTGTCGGGCAAACAAATTCAAGCTAACTGCCAACATTTGCTTCCTTTAAACTGAAATGCACTGATAAAAACAATCAGAATAAGTCAACCACGCTCAGGCCTCTTTAGATCCAAAAGGTTTGCTGCTGAAAAGAGCCAACAGTAACCTGAGAGCAGCTGCCGCCTCTCTTCACAAGCCTTGGAAGTTGAAGCTCTCACCAGGAGGAGGGAGCCTCATTTGTTGGGTGAAACTCCATCCTTTTTCACCGCTCTGCTGTCGGACTTTTTGCCGGGGTTAGTTGATGGCGCCGCTGTTTTCTTGGGGCCGTCTTTGGCTGAATTCTGTGCGGAGGAGGAGGCAGCAGCCTGAGAAGGAGCATTGGAGGATTTAGAGGCCTGCGTAGGCTTTGAGGTAGAGTTGGAAGGATGTCTGCGGCGCCTTCCATCATCCCCGGCCGAGGACGAGGGATATCTCTTCCTGCCACCCTCTTCTCCTATGGGAGGCTGCAGACCAAAATTGCTTATTAAAATTTAGTTCCATACATTTTTTTTTTTTTTTTGACAATAAAAATGTCTTCCCTGCATCTCTTGCTGTTTGCACAAACAGAACAAGAAACTCACCATCACCCTGAAATCCTCCAGGTTCTTGAACTTTGAGAGGTGCTCCTGCAGCTTTGGGTCAATAGGTTGGTTCTTTATCTTTGAATACTTCAGGAAGGCCCAGAACTTTTCCAGTCCATATAGCTGACCTATAGAAATAGAATAACTGGTAAAAAATACAGCAGAGGAGATCCTGTTTACACTGGATGCAAACTGACTGTACTATGGCTATACCTATAAACATTAGGATTATGTTTGGAAGTCACTGTATTGTGGTAAAATCTAACTAGGCTGAACATGATTTATCGCAGATTATGCAGACAACCAATATGAATTAAGCTACAAGTACAAACAGGTAGAGGGAATGCTGTAACCCTGATGGGAGCATTTTTTTACAGCTTTGTCACAGCTGATGGCAGGAAAAGCATACGGCTTTAACCCCAGAGTCCTTCATGTCTCAGGTTTGTGATTTCTTTAGCTTTTCCTCACATTGGCATCTTCATCTGTAGATTTTTTTTAAAGAAATATACTACCAGATCAATACAGATTACACTAAAATAAAACATTAAGTTCTTTATCTAAAACTAGAAATTTACAGTTCTCCAAAGAGGAATTCAGTTTATGATGAGGAACATTGTCCACATGGAAAATTAAATAGAATGCCAGAAAACATTTGATTTTATATGGTCATGATAAGCCTCTTTCCCACTGAATATAGTGAATAAGTGCGTGTTCAAAAAAAACCAAGCATTGTATAAGTTCCAAATATCAAGCCGATTCTTTAACCAATGCTGGTTACCTTTCTCAAAGTCCCTCAGGGTCTCCTCCTGAAAGTCTTTGAACAGATCCAGCTTGAATCTCCTCTCCAAACCATAACTGTAGTATCTGAAGAGGCATTCCAATCCATACCTGCCAGAGGAAAAAACAAACAAAAAAAAAAAAAACAGAAAAAAATTATAAAGCTTATAAGCGTGAAAATATGGCAATTTCCCCAACTGGTAGCTGCCAATTATGGTCAAGTTTCCTTCGTCTTCACAGCTTTCCATAATTAATGGTCTTAGTTACAACTTTGTCATTAAATGATTTTTTTTTTTTTTTACAAAACATCCACAGAATGTCTAGAGCATTGCAGAATTAAAGTATATATATATATATAGTATATAAATAATTGCTTTATTAATTTTGACAGCTCTAAAACATATTTACTTTTTGTTACGATGCTAACGTCAACATGAAATGTTTCTGCACCCATAAAAGGTCAGGTCATATAAAACAGAGCTCAGGTGTTGCCAGATCCTGGCAGCTCCATTATGGAGCTGAGAAATTAATTCTCAGGGTTTTATTTCTCAGATTTAGGCCAAAAAATGAAAATGAATGTCAGTCAAGCTTTTAAACATGGTTAAGAAGAGCCTCAGAGTGGCTACTTTTCTTCTGATAAAGTTAAATGGAAGGCGAGCGGGCGAATTCCAGTGCGCCACTTAATGGCCGGGAGGAGTTAAAGCTGAAGCTAAAAGCCTCTTGTCAACGGGGAATGGCCTGCATTTATGTTACACCTTTTTTAATTAATGGAAATTCAAAGTGCTTCACACTGCATTCATTCACACACTAATTATAAAGAGATTTATATCGTAGCCACAGCTTCACCGGGGCACGCTGACAGGAGCAAGGCTGCCCTACACAGGCCCAGGGACAGGTCAACACGCAAGGCGGGTGAAGTGTGTTGCTCAAGGACACAACTAAGATTAGGTTTGAACCAGCAACCCTTCAATTGCAGGACGAACTCTTTGATATTCTCTATTTGAAAATAATACATCAATCAAACCTCATGAGGTGAAGTGGTTTTAAGAGTATTTTTTTTAAATGCTTATCACCTTAAGGTTTAAGAAATAGAGCAAAGATGTCACTAAAATCTTGTCTGATTTTCATCAAGCTAGTACTGTATGTTTCATTTAGCTGATGAGCTGAATGTATTACAATAATCTAACAGAGGAGCATTAGATGAACTTTACTACTGCTAGCAGGAGCAGACAGCTGGATGCAATGATGGGAAGTATTTTAAAACAGCTGAGAGCTTATTGTGTAAAACAGAGCCGGTTGCGGATTCAGCCAAGAATGTAGGTTTTGCAGGTGTGAGAAGGCGCCTCTGGCAGAAAGAGCAACAAACGCAGCTCCACCCTGTGCTGTCAGATACAGAGTCACACACTGCAACAGCCTGGTGACACTCGCCATCACCAGATGTTGGGGGACAGTTCCCCATCTTCTTTTTTGTGAAGATTTAAACTGCTGAGATCCATTTTATGCAATTCTGATAAGTCTAATAAATTATGGGTTAAAATTATAAAAGAACAGCTTTGAAAATATGTTTTCTCTTTTCCTATCACGAGCAGGAGGCATGGCCACAGGTTATGTTTTACAGTAATCTAAAACAAAAACAAAATACCTGCTAAGTTGACATTTTTAACCAATTCTAGCATCTTCTAATACTGAAACGTTGAAGTTTCTAAAACAGCAATCTTTGTGTATTCCCAAAAGACTGTGGATTGACTCCTGGTGTTCCAATCAAGTGCAGAAAATCATTGTTTCCTGACAGTGGCCGAAAGTTCAGATGGAGAATATGGAGTTATCGTGTGGAACTCCACTTTGCCTTCCTTTGATCTGCATTAAGTCTTGAATAAATTGAAAACAAGTTCTAACAAGCTACAGGTACAGCTTCATCTTGAAGCTCTTTTGCAGCTCTGAGTCCTCAGACCTCACTTTCAAACTGATATTAACAAAGATCCAGGAACATCAACCACACCCAGTGTGTTGTCAGAGCATTTATGGTGCATTAACTTATCAGAAAAAGATCGGATTTTTTGATTCTCCTAAGCATATCTAACTAGAGTCCATAATAATCATTGTGCAACACAAAAAGCCAAAAACTTCACTTTAAAATGGATTTGCATTTCCATTTAGGATGTGGTTTTCTTGGTCTCCAGGTTTCATCTCAATCAGATTGGTTTGTAAACATAAACTTGAAGCAATATAAACATCTACATGCAGTTCAAAACTTCATTTAATGTGCATCTAACCTGTAATTTTCTTTGGCATCTTCAAGTGCAAACTGTTTGAACTCCTCATACATCTTTCTGTTGAAGTTGTCCCTGAGAAAGAAGGACCAGAACCTGAACAGAGTGTTCATCTCCTGAGACTGGCCCACTCCCAACCGTTTTCTCTCTGGAGAAAAAAAGAAATAAGACAAAAACAGCAAATTGAGGTCGTCATCGTGCATCGCTAAAGCAAAGAACAGGCGGGTTTGAGCTGCTGGTCTATTTACCATTAAGGCACCTTCGGCGGTACTTGTGATATCCCTGCTGAGTGAAGCCGTTGTCTCTCAGCAGCTCATGCGATGGATGCCAGAACTTAGGCAGAGACTGGGGAGTGCAGCCGTAGTTTCCTGACAGTGGAGCTCCTTCTGATGGAGAAGCGTTGGAGCTGCTGTGGATCGATGACACAAACAAAATTATTCCTGTTCTATAAATCAGCAATAATACAATAAAATACTAAGAATCTCAACGCAAACTTTAATAATTTCAAAAGTGAAACTGAACTGAATCTTCATTTTAGTAAGAATCTCCAATTGCTTCCTGTAGTTACGGTTTAAGTGTTCACTGCATGTTCAAAATATCAGTTAAGCTTTAAGAATATATCAAAAAACAGAGACAGCTCTTTGCATCTTTAAGCACTTGACGTAGACAAAAAAAGAGGAAGTGTTGTTATTGTAAATGCAACTCGTGAGGCAAGGCAGACGGACCTGATGGAGGCGGAGCGCGGTCGGTGCTCACGGGAATCCATCACCCATCCGATGTGGGCCTCCTGAGGGGGGTTGGAGCTGTGGCGGGTCTTCTTCTTTCTCGGCATCTGGGAAAAAAAGCAGGTTGTTTAAATACATCTGTAGACTTTGTTTTATTTATAGTTTTAGAACAAGTGAGAGCACATAAATGCAATGGAAGTAAACAAATGTAAAATTTTCAAATTTGGGTCTGATGACTATTCTTGATTGGTCTGAACCATGTAGATTATTTTTAACCTCATGTCTTTAGAAGTCAGCTAATTAATTAATATTTTGTTTTAGTTTTTCTCAGTATAAAAACTGTTTTTGAAAAACCAAAGAGGTATTTTAGAGAAGTGAAATAAACATCATGAAGACCGAGGATATAAAACAATAATCAACACAAAGACAGTTGAGTTTAACATCCTAACAGGTAATGGAGATTGGCTGAAAATGCAGCATTAATGAACTATCATCATCAAGAGCGCAACTAAATCCATACTGACACCTGGTGGTGGCAGCATCATACTTTCTTCAGCAGGAAGAAGGAATGTGATCAAACTTCATGATTAGACATCAAATTAAATACAGGAGAGAGCAGAACAATGATCCTTAACAAAACGCTAGAGCTACAGTTGGACATAAGATTAAAGCATGGATTAGGATTATCCCGGTAAACCTAAACCTGGAGGAAAATGGAATCCAAGATTGAGTGCATGTAGAACTAGCTGCCTCTAGTTGTGTAAAACTGAAAAAATGGAGGGCCGGCAGCAGTGAGAGCTGGAAAAGGTCATTCGTGTGCTCAGTGGATGTGGTTCTACTGTGGGATGGGGGCCCATAGAGCAATTATGCAGCATTTGTTGCTGACATCTAAACAATCAAGTTATGAGATGTGGAAAAACATTCACCTGTCCATCAATGGCGCCACTCTCCTTCATAACCGGGTAAAAGCGTGGAGCCTTGTTGGGATCCTGGCGTCCAGGCGTGCGCGGTGTTCTGGGGGTCCGAGGTTGAGAAGTGCTGGGGGACTCGGGAACTGTTGCAGGAAGAGAGCGAGCCAAATCTGCTCCGCTGTCCACTGTGAAGGCAGCCATACATTCTGTCTTTAATTCCCCTCGGATGATAATGTCTTATTATCACAGTGTGCGTTTATCAGAGTTCATGTGAAACTGGAAACCGTTAAATGTCAATAATTGCTAACATGTTACTGAATGCAGTTAGGAAACTTTTTTTGCATCAATACCACCATTTGTCCTCCACATAATAAATCCAGTTCATATTAATTATATAATTAATATGGACGATATACAAATTATGTAATGTCTGAATATCTTAAATGTATCCAATGCAGGAAGCTTAAAGGAAACAATCTACAGAGGAGGTCTTTAAACCCACCTGGCATGGGAAGAGCTGGGACTTCCTGGTTTGAGTCAACAGGCACTTTGGGAGTGAGGGTGTCAAACTCATCTTTACTGATGACATTCAGCTTCTTGAAGTTCTCCACATCCTGCTGGAGAGAATAAATCAGATCTTTAAACAAGGCTGCTCAGTTATGGTTATTAAAGGAATAATACATCTGATGCACACTGCAAAGAAAACAACTGGAATCCAGAAAGGAAGTTGAAGGACTTGATTCCAATCGGACATTTTAAACGATTGCTCAAAGGTTTGGAAATGAGATCTATGGTTTGTAACTGTTTTATGAATTTCTAATTATAGATAGATGTAATTGTAAACTGTAATGTAATTTGTAATGTATTCTTTTGCCGCTGTCTTGGCCAGGACTCCCTTGAAAAAGAGATTCTTAATCTCAATGGGACTTTTCCTGGTTAAATAAAGGAATAAATAAAAAAAAAATAAAAAATAAAGATTTTGGTTCAGGTATCACACGTTTACACTCTTTACGCCTGTAATAAGTTTTGGTTACACTGCGATTCAGTTACAGTGAGAGGCAAATCAACTTTTTCAATAAACCTTGTTTTCCTTAATAGAGATAAACTTTTCTTCATCAGCTGGATGGAGTAAATGTTATCTAGACATTTCCACTAACTGATATTTAAAAGGGGAAAAACTAAGATGTATGTTCAAAAAAACAAAAACTTAAAAAAACATTTAAAGGTTTTTATAAATGGTATCTTGAGTTGAGGTTTTAATCACTTTTAAGCAAAATTTCATAAATACATTATTTTCACTCTTCACAATCCTGCACCTAAACATTACCTGAAGTGTTAAAAAAACTAAAACTGGTTGTGGAACTAAATAAAACAAAAATATAACTTAACATTAATAAAAACTAATTAAAACCAACTAAATCAGAGAAAAATTGTTTCAACTAAATAAAATTAAAACTACTATTTAAATTAATTATTATGACATTTGCAGACTAGGTTTATTATGAATCAAAAGCAATAAGATTTTACAACTAGAATAATTTTTTAATTTTAAAGTCATTATCACAGCATCTAGCAGGATTCAACGTCTTATAAAAGTATTCGGCCCCCTTGAACTTTTTAACCGTTTGCCACATTTAAGGCTTCAAACTTAAAGATATAAAATTGTAATTTTTTTTTTTGAAGAATCAACAATAAGTTGGAGACAATCATAAAGTGGAACAAAATTTATTGGATATTTTAAACTTTAACAGACAAAAGTGAAAAATTGTGTGTGCAAATTTAATCAGCCCCCTTGAGTTAACAGTTTGTAGCACCAAATTTCGCTGCGATTACAGCTGCAGGTCGCTTGGGTTATGTATCAGTTTGAACATCGAGGGACTGAAATCTTTGTCCATTCTTCCTGCAAAACAGCTTGAGCTCAGCCAGTTTGGATGGAGAGCGTTAGTGAACAGCAGTTTTCTGTTCTTTCAACAGATTCTCGATCAAATTCAGGTCTGGACTTTGACTAGGCCGTTCTAACACCTGCATATGTTTATTTAAGAGCCATTCCATTACAGATTTCACTTTATGATTTGGATCATTGTCTTTTGGAGGTTTTGCAGGCTCCAACAGGGTTTCTTCCAGAATCTCCCTGTATTTCGCTCCATCAATCTTCCCATCAGTTTTAACCATATTCGTGCCTGCTGAAGAAAAGCAGACCCAATCCATGATGCTGCCACCACCATGTTTGATAGTGAGGATGGTGTGTTCAGGGTGATGAGCTGTGTTCCTTTTACATCAGACATAATGTTTTGTATTGTTGCCAAAAAGTTAAATTTTGGTTTCATCTGACCACATCATCTTCTTTCAAGTGTTTGCTGTGTCTTCCAGGTGGTTTGCAGCAAACTTTAAAGAATACTCCTTATTGATATCTTTAAAAAAATGGTTTTCTTCCAAAAAGGCCAGATTTCTGCAGTATAAGACTGATTGTTTTCCTATGGAGAGTCCCCCACCTCAGCTGTAGATCTCTGTAGTTCATCTAGAGGATTGACTGACAGACTCTTGGTTGCATCTATGATCAGTTTACTCCTCGTTAGAGCTAAAAATTTAGCGGGACGTCCAGGTCTTTGTAGATTTGCTGTGACAGTGCTCCTTGGGATGTTAAAAGCTTGGGAAATCTTTGTTATCCAAATCCGGCATTAAATTTCTCCACATCAGTATCTCGGACCTGCCTGGTGTGTTCCTTGTTCTTCATGATGCTCTCTGTGCTTTAAACAGACCTCTGAGACAATCACAGAGCAGGTGTATGTATACAGAGACTTGATTACACACAGGTAGATTTTATTTATCTTCATCAGTCATTTAGGTCAACATTGGATCATTCAGAGATCCCCAATGAACTTCTGGATAGGGTTTTCTGTACTGAAAGTAAAGGTGCTAATTCATTTTTTTTATTAAAAAGATTTTAAAAAATCCAACAAATTTAATTTCCCTTCATGACTGTGTCTTACTTCACAGGAAAATTATAATTTTATATTTTATGTTAGAAGCCTGAAATTTGGCAAAAGGTAAAAAAGTTAAAGGGGGCTGATGCTTTTGCATGGTACTGTATCACAGAAAATCATAAGTTTTGACGTTATGCTGCTTTTTTCCTTATTAGTTAAAACAGTTATCTTAAACCTGGGGCCTGAAAGCAGTTAACACTGGAGATAAAATAAAAAAAAAATCGGCCTTAATATTATTAATGCACGAAAGCACCTACGCATCGGGCCCTTTCCTTACTTCTCTGTAATTACAGAACAGTTCTTCTCTTAGAGATCATGCAGATTGTTGAGGCTGATTAAATCCCAACATGCAGATACAAACACCTGATAATACCATGGGCTGAAGGCATCAGTGTGACACACAACATCTGTCAAGTGGACTCTGACCTTTACACGTTGGCCTCACATGCATGATAGTGAAAAACAAAAACTGCATTTGACCTTGCTGTGTGTGTTCAGGCGTGGGATTTCCCACACGTGGAAGCTTTAAACACAACCTTTGAGCCAAAAAAGAGCTGACATTGCTGAAAGCTCCTGACGACCATGATGAGTGAATAAGTGATCTTAGTGAGGGAAACACTTCAGCACAGAGGCCACATTTACAGGGACATGATTGCTGTAGTTTATGGTTACAGAAGGAAGCATTTGATTTCTTGTTTAAAATCATCAAAATAAAGTAATATACAGTTTAAATGTACATTTACCTCATTAAAAAAGACTTTTTTTTAATACATATTTGACTTTTAGTTGAGATATACCAATTAAATCAGAGAAAGAAGCAGCCCGTTTCACAATGACTGGTGATTAGAAACTCAAAAACTCTTTTCATACATCTCTTTGGACTATTTTCAGTTTATAAACTTAGACCACTGTTTTTTTCCCCAAGTTGTGGCTTTTATTCACTTTGATGCTTTTTCACATCATGCTTCCTTATGAGCTGTGTAGTATTTTTTGTAGTATTTTTAGTTTAATTCATAACCCGAAAGAATAAATTATTGCACAATAATCAGGGATGCTCACTTTTTCAAACTGAATTATTTAGATCGAAATGTTTTATCTTGATCGAAAGATCAGTACAAGTCAACTGCAATTTGATCAACAGCAATGATCAAATTGGATGAAACAATAGACAAACATGTTTTCATACATTAACCTGCATTATTAAGATGTTTGGTTATAATTCAATTATTGAAATCAGAGGGTTTCAAACATTAAATTGGTTTAAGGATTCATTTCAAAATAACCACAGTCTGGCAATAAAAACCAGTTTAAGAAATGGCACAACATTGTTAGAGAGACTACATACTATTTTATCCACTACAGTTCTGCTGAGCAAGTCTCACAAATGACGTTGCATCATTGCTCTGTGACCTACATCTAATGCTCTTACATTCGCTGCTTCTGCAGATGCTGCAGCTTTTCTAAAACCGGGTCATTCAGCTCTGGACGCAGCTGTCGGATACACGAAGGGCTTGTGCAGTACACGTTTATTTTAGTCCTCCTTTACACAGCAAAAGGGGGATCAGTTCAACCTCAGAGACCCCTGAGAGGATGTCATGGTGTTTGGGACAAAGCAGGTCCTGCTTTCTATCCACAACTGTTGCGGATGGTCAAAATGTTTTATCTAAATCCAAATAACACAAATATTTAGCTACAAACTTCTTAATAGTAGGTTATAGCTCAAACCTAAATTAATAAAAATGGAAAAAAGGTGACTGTACGAGCAGACTTTCTGGTATGCTTGTTTAGTAGGAGTTAGGATTATTTTGCTAATCAATTCATCTATCATTTATATATATCATTAAGTTCTTTAAAGAAGATTTTTTTTACAGAATTAAACCAGATGAAGCAAAATTTGCCACTTGAGGATTTCTGGATTTAGCATACTGACACACGAAAAAGCTATTTTATCTTTAATGCAAACTATGAATATATATTTTTACAATTTTGGTATAATTACCCCTCTAAGTGGGTTTTAGAGTCTCTACACTCCAGTTAAGGATTAATGGATTAATCATGACTAATTTAGCCCTGGTAAAGACACGCTTGTATAAATGAGTGGTATAACCCTGAATGACAATTTTAACTGATAAAAGAAAAGTCAGGAACCAAACTGCGCATAATCTTACAATTTGGATAATATTTCTCCCATTTGTTTCATCTTGGTTGGCCCTAGCTGGTGGCTTTATATAAAACACAATTTCAAATGAAAGTGTGATCACACTGCTGTAATAAAAGTTTTTCAACATATCTTTAATAGAGGTGCCAATAAGGCTGGAGGGAACTGTAGGTAGAGGATCAAGCACATATTAACCCTAATTAATGTATTTTAATTTGGAAAATAGGCTACCATAAAAAGATAACCTTAATGTCGGATGTCTGTGATCTTACCTTGCTACACTCGATCAGCTCCTCTCCCTTCCACAGGTCCTGTTCGTAGTAGTACAGCCCGTCGTTGATTGCTTTAGCCAGATCAGCGGTGATCTTGGCTCGGGATTCGTGGTTTCCTGTGCGATCACCACCAGGGTGTTTGCGAACGTAAGGAGGAGTCTGGGTGACAATCAGGATCTTGTTGACATCTTGGTCGTCCAGCTCGTAGTCTGAGTCATCATCATCTGACCAGTCGGTGAATTTGTTTTTCCTGGGCGCCATCTGCTCCATTTCCTCATCGAACATGAAGTCCAGCTCCTCCTGGTCCAGCTCAGCCTGAGCAGGAGGCTGACTGCTCGGAGCAGTGGCTTTGGATTCTCCCTGGAGAAAGTTAGAAAAGATTGAGTGAAGGTGGGAAGAACCAAACATGAAGATAATGGGGAAGGTTACCGTCTTGCATAAGTATTCATACCCAGTGATCATTACCATCATTAACCACGTTCCAGTCCAAACAACCAGGGTGAAATACTGAAAAGCTAAGTGAACAGGCTAAATGCTGTTAGCAAAACAACCTAACACTAATGCACGATATTGGGATTTTGGACGATATCCGATATGCCGATATTTTAAAACTCATGTAGCCGATAACCAATATCGATACCGATGTTACAGCTGGACAAAAATAAGTAGTCATTGAAAATAGCAGTTTTGTTATCCATTTCTGACACTTTGAAAAATAATATACTCAAATATATTTTCATATGCTGATATCAAATTGATTTTGAAAAACGCCCTATCGATCTATTTTACTTTCAAATTTCATCATTCTGTCACAAACTCTCGTGATATTTTGCAAATTCTTGTGAGATTTTGTTAGTAAAATAGATCGATGCTGCGTCAATATATCAACATATAAAAATATGGCAAAATTTCGTGAATTTTCGGGGGATTTCGTAGCATAACGATGACATATAGCAATATTTCATTAGTAAAAGAGATTGATATGGTGTTTTTAAATGGCAATATATCAGCATATGAAGATATTGTGATTTTTTAATGTATCAATATTTTTCCCCTCGTCTTTAGAAGTTTTTAAGTCTGTAAAAAAGAAATTTCTGAGGAAGAAGAAGAAGTTTTTTTTTTTTTTTTTTTTAGACTTTAGAAACTCAGAAGCTGATCAAATATCGGGTTAAATATCGGTGGGGTGGCCGATGTCCGATATTCAGTTTTAAGGCCGATACAGGCCGATACCGATAGGGGGCCGATTATATCGTGCATCCCTAGTTATGATAAAGCATTTTTTTTGCCAATAAGGGTTAATAGATTTTGTAGAGTATTCACAGTATTTACAGCTTCTAGACTTCCTGACTATGATGCCAAAAGATAAGCACAGCCAATTCTCTTTGAACGAACTTGTTTCTGATCCAGCCACCATGTTTCATCAGAGAGGTCTCTGCTCAGCCATTTTTTGGATCACTCTCAAGATGTTCAATTGGATTCAAGTCTGGGAAACTAAAGAAACCTACAGAAAAGACAACGGGATTGCCCCTAGGATGCACCGTATGTCTCTGCATTTGCTACGGACAAATAGTGTAGCATCACACCCTCAATAGATAGATATATGTTTCAGACTGTTTAAAAGATTTGTGAAGAACTGTTAAAATTTCAATACTCAATTTCTAAGTATTGACTCTGATGTTTTCCATCAGAACCTGTGGGTTCTAGTTCAGGTAAATACACTAAGTAAAAGGTTTAACTTCTGAAACTTCAATTGCATTCAGTAAAGTCTGAGGTTGTAAAATGAAAAACATTGGAAAAGATCAAGGATATGAATACTTTTGTGAGGTACGCAAAAGTTTTAGGCTGAAAAATATTTTTGAAGAAAAAAAACAAAAAAACAATTGAACCATTCTGAATGAGTAAATGTTTGAAGACATGCAGAGAAAGGAGAAGCAGAGGACAAAGTGGGACGAGTGAATGACTGAAGTAAGAAGTACTCAACAGGAGAGGAGAGGTGGTCAGGCTGGAGCTCTGAGGGGCATGAGGGGCCAGCAGCACACACATCATCACTGTCATGCTGCCGGCAAGAGAAAGGATGACATGGAGACGGAAAAACATGGACAAATGATAGGAGAGGCACAGAAGGAAAGAGGGATGAGATGGATGTTAATCAGCAGAATTTGTTGTGGTTAAATAAGAATGACAGTTCATTAGGAGACTCCCTACTGTTCACTGAGGCATTGCTATGTTTAGCTAAGGATTCCTCATAGTTCTTGATCTTTAATCTGATATTAATCAGGGCATTCCAATGTGGTCTGATTTGCATCTAGTCAGACTCAAACTTACAGTCAAAGCACAAAGGACTTTTTGTTGTAATCTGGCTCCATTCACTTATTCTACATTCTACAAATAAAAGTCCAGAAGATTTTCTTTTTGTTGTAATCTACAGATAATGTGTTTAGTTAAATTTGCACCAATTTTTTTCCCTCAATCATATAGGTTATAGGTGAAAAGACTAATAAAATATTTTTTTCCTGTCCTAATTGTAAAATGTAACTAAAGTTTATGTAAAAGCGTAACCCAACCAACCAGACAAGTTTTGAAAAAGTTACCAAAGGATTTGCCCACGAACACCTTATGATGGCCGACTGAATTTTAAACATGCTCGATTTTCTCAGGACCTTACAATTCCTGATCGGCAGGTGGCTGAGAGGCTGATAGCCGCCCCCTTACCTCTTTTATACTACACAACGCAGGACGTAGGATGAGGCGAAAACTCGGACGGATTGAAACATTCTCGCACGATTGGAGAATTAAATATGAAAATTTGTACAAAAGTTACCATTTAACTGCATCAAAAGCAAATATTTCCAACAATTTTGGGGTCATTGAATGCATTAATCAAAAGCTTTTTATTTTGATGTATTTTCTCTTTTTAGTTTTAAGAAAACAAATCATCAGATAATAGTTCAGAACATCTGTTACTTTAATAATGGGGATGATTGGCTCAATTTTCTAGCAGAATTAAAACACTATATCTCAGATGAATTGCAGCCATTTAAGGGTAAATACAATTATTTTTGTACTTGTCCACTTCAGTTCTGTATCACTGTTGCTCATTAACCTACAACCCTTTTTGATTAGCCTACCTTTGATTTTCCGGAGGTCTGACGGTGCCGTTTCTCCACTTGGATCCAGGCGTCAGGGTCTGGTTTGGGGTCAGACTTGGGGGTGTCTTTGGAGTTGTCCGAGGCCGAGTTAGAGTCCTGGTTGGAGGGGGCGGGTTCACCTGATTCCTGTAGCTGCGTTGAGTCCAGTAGCGGCTCATTTACAGGCAAGGTGGCTAAAAATGGCCAGAGAAATAAACAAGAAGCTATCAGCACAACCCAACGATCAATTAAAGCAATGTGAAAACTGAGGACATTAAAGGAGTCTTCCATTTCTACAAATTATTTCTAGACATCGCCGTGCCTTCTCAACTTTAATTCTCCTTCATGCCTTCTGTGACAAAACTTCTAGTATTAATTAACACTTAGAAGAAATATTAGTCTACAAATATGACACGTTTACACTAACTTATTAATAAAAATGAATACACAAAGAAAAGCTTGGGTTAAGGACAGGAATAATTGCAGCATGAAGGTTCATTCAATGGCGACTCCTCCTGGCATCAATTAATCCACATTTTCTGCTCAAGTGAATATTTAGGGCGGCAGCATTTAGTAGATAAAATCAGAATAAGTGTATTTTTTGCTGCCTTGGAGTTCTGGAGGATTTGATTTGAATTGGATCTAATCACATATGTTTGATTTTTTTTTTTTTTTTTTTTTTTTTATTAAAAGCTGATTGGTTACAGAAATTGGCAGGAAACTGCTGATTCCTGCCCGGCACTGGGTCGGGTTCTGGCGCACCGGGGCAGGGAGTCAACGGGGGACCGTTGACTCCCTGCCCCTGCCCGCCTGGGTTCCCGGAGCATCCCGGAGCTGACGGCTCGGTTCAAATGCCCGATGTGTTTCAACTACTTGGTGCACTGTAGTCGACCAAAATCCCGGACGATTTTGAAATGAAAATATAACAAACTAAATGTCTGCAGCTGGTGGTATCACACAGTGAGCTAGCTTATCATTTAGGTGTACACATCGAAGAAAAAAAAGTGATGAACAATGGAATCCCGCGGAGTGGATTGGTGGGAAAGACAACAAAAATGAAAATCAAGATTTTCTGAAAGATGTAATCTTCCTGAACGAAAATTCAAATAACTGATAAAACCAATCAGAAGCCCTGTCCTGAAGAAGGTAAATGAATACTGACCAGCAGTGGGTGCATTGAGGTTCTGTCGAGGAACAAATTCAGGGCAGTTGATGAGCTGGGAGAAGTCGGTGCGAGGGGAACCCACGACAGAAGGGCCGGGGATGGGCCAGCGGTCTGGCTCTACTTTACAGCGGATCTTGTCGTCCACCAGCTCCACTTCTGTGCTGCTTTTTAAAGCCTGGAAAGATAATTTCATGAGTAGGTTTCAAATCAGGAAAAGATCCAGATAATTTGTAATCATGTCTGACCGATTCACTTCAGGGCTGGGTATTTACCTCCATAATGAGGTTGACATCAGTGGTAAGAGCCTGAACTCTGTGGAAGCCAGCAATGAGAGAAATGGGAAGGAAGCCCTGTGCATCCATTTTCCTCCTGAGGAAGAAATCCCGCTCCAGGTTGTGGATGCTGAAGTAGTATTCACTGGAAGAAGAGGTAATATAGATATAACCAGTTTAGATATAAATGATGTCAGTCTATTCAGATCAAACTTGCTGTTGCAAATAGTGGGATGGGTGGCATCATCCTCTGACAGAAACCAGTTTGCTCTAGAATCTGGTCCATAAAACCCAAAACTTTGCATTTCTGGGTTTTTTTCTCTCAAAGTGATTTCTAAGGATAACTTTTAAGTTCAGGGGTGATGTTTCTATGCAAATCATAATGTAAAAATATGGTGTTTCAGCAGTTTGTAAAAGTATTCATACTATTTAAACATGCCCCCCTGTTTTTTACAATATACCCACAACCTTCAGTTAATTGTATTGCTATTTTTTGTGACAAAAGGAAATTTGAAGCTGGTTTTCAAAATTCTTTACAAATGATATCTTGTTCTTCTGTGCCTGGCCAATGGTTATTTGATATTTGTAGACACATCCACTCAGACAAACATCAGTTTTGTTATTTGCAGGATTTAAACAGAGTTAAATTCAAACACAGGTTGACCTGAAAGTTAATTAGGAAAGTTGATTTAATGGAGATTTTTTTTCCTTTACAAAACTTGAACCAGTTGAAGCTTCGTCCCCCCCGAATAATGTTAAGTTAGCCCCGTTGGATTCATTTCAGTTCTGAGTTGGTTGTTCTCCAAGCAAATTGTAGTTTTTAGGTCTTTAAATTGCTGTTCACTTGGTTGATTTTGGAGTTTATCAGGGTAAAGCGAACAAAAAAATACACACACAAAAAAAAAATTTCTATAAAAAAAATTCATTATTTCCCTTTCAGTACAATACATTAAATATGTTAAATATTTTAGACTGATATCAGTATTTCAGAAGAATAAAATAGTTTCCATTTATAGGTTATTTTAATAAATGTAGCTTAATTTAAGGGTTTTATTTTTAGAACAGTAGGGTTAAAAGGATGCTGGTTAAGGTGTATCAAAAAATATGCAATTAGAAATATTCTATGATCCTGGACTATTACATTTTTTTCTTCTTATTCACCTGATATTCTGACTACAGCTCCAAATGAAGAGAGCTTTCTGTGTCTCTCGCTGCTCCCAGTCTACTGCTTGTCGCATCACTTCATGTCACACCCTGACACACAAATATTTGTGCCAGCTCAGCCTCAGGCAGAACCACGTTTCATGAAGAAAACCGGTGATATAGTGAGCGTCCTGAATAGTGCAGAGATGAGGAAAAGCAGTGGACAGGAATGTCCCCTCTCACCATTGTCACTCGCCCCCCCCTCTCGGTCTCTTCCCCCCCCATTACTCTCTCCATTCCTTACCATCACTCATTCAGGCCTGCATTTAATTCCTCGCCTGTGCCTTTAGAAGCACTCAATCTATTTTTAGGAGCACACCTCACACTGGCCTGAGTCACATCTTCAATGAGGCCAAAGCTGTCAACTAGACACCAGCAGCACACTGCCCCCTGCAGGCCAAACTGATTTACTAATAATTCAGTTTCATCTGCATACAGATTTGACCAGAGATGGCAAAAGTACTCACTTTCCGTACTTGAGTAAAAGTACAGATACTTGTGTTAAAAAATACTCTGGTAAAAGTGGAAGTACTGATTAAACTTCTTTACTAAAAAGTAACAAAGTACAGGCTTGTAAATTTACTTAAAGTATAAAAGTAAAAGTAGAAACCACTTTTTTCATGCCGTTGCCTACATTTTAAATGGATGTCTGCCAATAGGACTAGATCTCCGTTGTGTTCATTTTCAATCATCTCGTCGTCCATACTACTATGCTAACGCCACCCCCACCAAGCTACAATGATTTGCCGCCAATGAATACCGCCGAATCTGTCGATTCATCTTGTAGTGGTGCGTCAAATGCAACGTAGATTCCCATCCAATTAGATTGAATTTGGTATTGATGACGTGAAAAATAATAACTGTAACTCCATTAAAATGATTCAAAACTAAAGTAACGAGCCCCTAAAATAGGGACATCCCACATCCATGTTCGCAGCTTGCCATACATGACTTAGGGCCTTCTGTTAACAATGGCTGTCTTTCTGCCCCTCCTTCAGGGCCAGAATTGTCCAGCTCATTACCAAATCTGGTCCTCGAAAGTGTTTCTCCAACCTCTGCAACTTTTCCAAAAACAACCATGTGTGCCTCTTTCCTCCTACTTGTTTATCCCATGAAATCCCAATAATGTTTGCGGCTGTAATGGGATGTTTAAATCTGACTTTTCAATGTTGGTTTTGAACTTCAGTTACAACATGGGCGGTGAAATTGTTTGTTTTTTGTATCGGCTCTTTGGTCAAACCAGAAAATCCCACAAGAGATTTTTGTCCTCCTGTGTTTTACGTCATTCATGAAGGATGCTAGCATTAGCCTTCCATGATATCACCGCTCCGGTCTCTAATTCACCAAACAGGGACTCACCTTGGGTCCAAAATGGGGTCTGAATGGGCTCTATATAAATTTCTTTCCAATAAAAAAATTATTCAACACAAATTTAAAGACAATTTTAGGATTGTATTCGTAAATACCAGACAATGACTCATTTAAAACATGTTTTACAGGCTTCTTAAAGGTGTTTGTAGTTGGTTACTTTCAGATATTCCTATCTGGTTTTTTCATAGATAAGTCTCACAGATAAGTTAGAAATTTGAACATCTCAGCTACAAAGGAAGAATATTTGACTTCTATTAAAATGTGTTTGTCCTTCATTTTAATTCCATAGTAAGTAAAGAAGAACTACCTTCAGTCCAAATACTTTGGCCTAATTTGTAAAAAGTTTGGCCCCACAGTCACAAAGAATGAAACACACCAAAACAAAGGCATGTATAAATTTAAATGTTATAAGATTAAAGCATTTTCGAGGGCCAAGTTTTATTAAGCCATTAATAATTATCTCCATAAGATGGTATTAAGTGCCATAGAGCTCCAGGTGGATTGTATTTTAAAGCTTCTTAAATGTTCATGTCTATAAAACGTGTTTGTTAACACTTACATTTGCCTCTTGATGTATTCCTTAAGAAGCTTTTCATCCACTGTATACATCTGGACCTTGTTGCCATCATCGTAGTAGTAAACTATGCTGCTACTGAAGTCTGCAGGGACCTGAACTGAGCCGTCAGATGAGTGAGAGTCTCTGTAACTCAGAGAGTATTCGTACCGACCTGAGTAAGATGGAAGAATGCAAATGCACTGATCAGAACTAAACACGAAAAGAAGAGGCGGTAAAAATCTGGTTCCCTACATCTTGAACTGAAAATGATGTCAATATTAAAGCAGAAATGTCCACCTCGTCCACGACCTCTCCCACGTCCACGTCCTTTCCCCCTGCCTCGAAGTCCACCACGGCCAGCGCCGCCATCGCTCCGAATGCTGCCGCCATCGTCTCCGTGGTCCCGTGGCTCGGCTCTCCAACCTGTAAAAGATGATTCATGTTATTCCCTTCATTGAACTTCTTTGGTTTCCTAAATAATCAAACATTTATTAAATTGAGGATAAGAAGTAGAGCAGCACAATATTAGGACCTACTGAATTATCATTTTTAATTAGGATGGTGAAATCTATTAACATAAATCCACATTTTACTAAATCCTTCATCATCTGTTGCTTTAAATGCTTTCTGAGGCTTCAGCATCTTGACACTATTATCTATATCACGTTTTAAAGATATCAGCTGCTGAAACTATTTTCTAAAATAATAATGAAAACATTTGCATTTTGTTTTGTGCTTCTCCTATGAAAAGTTTTTGAATACTTGATACTCCTCGAGTTTTGATATATATTTTCACGCTACAACCAGATACAACGATATGTTTGCTTTTGATTGAGGTTTTATGAGACAGACCAACCCAGTAAATAAATAAAATATGAAATGGATTTATTTTTATTAAACATTTTCACAAATAAAACTCTGAGGTGCATGGATAATTTTGTGTTCAGCCCCCCCAAGTCAATAGCTAAGAACGTTTGTATAGTTATACTGATACTAAAAGTAGAACGATGCAGTTTTTAGAATTGTTTCCAAATAAAAAACAGACAAGCTCTGTGATCATTTATAGTCAGATGTACAGCAGCTGTATGTTCTCAACAGACTGAGATCTCTGCAGTGAAACTTTTCTCATTCTTTTTTGCAAAAATAGTTCAAGGTCAGTCAGATTAAAGAATGTATTAACAAATGTTTGAAATTCTGCCAAGATTTAGGAATAAACTATAACTGGCCACTTTGAAGACAGTTTTTTAGTTTGTGATGGGGGACTATTTTCCAACACACAGAATATTGTCGAATATAAGCTTCCGAAAAAATCCAATCATTCTGTAAAGCCCAGATTTGATGAGACTGATGCTCCAATAACTGGGGATGATTTAGAAGTGTTGGTCTTCCCCATAAAAGCCTCAATAAATGTGACAAACTATGAAAACTGGGTGTGAATACTTTCAGAAGGCCCTATTAAACACATGAGGTTGAAGTTAAAAGGTATTTTTCCAAAGTTCAAAGTCTATCTTAGTAGTAGTACTAAAATAGAGTTAATTTGAAACCTTAACATCGTACAATTAAAAAAAAACTCCTAATACACTTTTTTAATCATCAAAAAAACCAAGTGCATGCAAAGATGAAATGACACAGACTTCATGCTTTCAGCCATGCTTTTGGAAAAAGATCCGGTGTTAGAAAACAGTGGTGAGTAAACACAAAGCAATGTCAGAGGGTAAAGAGCGACAAGCTGGACAGAAAAGAAGCAAACAGAAGCACGAAAAAAAAAAAAAAAAAAAAAAAAAAAGAGCTCCTCGCCACTTACTCCGGCTGTCATAATGCGCTCTGTTATCATGAACCATTTGATTGGGCGCCGTGGGATCAGACGAGTCGCTGATGGGCTCGGTGTCTGACTGAGCAGCGCACCCACCAGATGTCTTGTCTGCGTCATCCCGGGAGACGTCCTCCAGCGGCAGAGAAACCCACTTACGTTTGTTACCTATCCGTGATTGCATACCGAAAACAGAGCTTAAAGGTTTTTGGTCAAATGAGCCACATCAAAGAAAAATTACTAACCGAGTTTCAGCTCATTTCAGAGACCAATTATCCCCATCCCTTAGGTTTTTCTACACACATACAAACAGTTATTGAATTAAGGAATTCAAAATTACTTAACATTATTTAAAGAAACAAACAAAAAGTGTCTAATAAACCTAAAGTAAGATCCACAACAGTGAATTTTATCTACATCGTAGCTCAGTCCAGAGAGAAGGGTACCATTTTTGCTTTTATTTTATTTACTTACAGCAGATTTCTCTATTTTACTTGAAACTGTTTATAATATTGCAGCTATGTTGTCTTTTATCTTGTTTTTAAAAAAATCAGGAAACAAGAGAAAAGTCATTGATATTGTTGGATATCCCTCATCTTGTAGACCCTTTCAGATCAACCTTTTGGTCTGTAATCAGCATCAGCCTAAAGTCCCTACCATGAAAGGAGGATTAGAAAACCCCCCTGAACCTGTAAGGAATCGGTAAAGGATTGGAGTAAAAGTGGGATGTATGAAACAAAGCGAAGACAGCTGCAGGAGACAGGAGACCACCGTGTGCAGTGAGAGTAGAGACACCAGATGATCTTCCGCACAGGAAATCCCCCCTACATTCCTGAGGTGAATTGCTGTTTTTTAAGCTTTAGTTCCAAAAGTGTGCTAAGAAAGCAGACAGAACTGTTCAGTTTGGATGGACAAAGTGATCCATAATTAGGGATTTGGTTATGTGTTTATTGTAGGACTATGACCTGAAAGGAGCTTTGGACAATTTCGTATTTACACTGAGAAATTTTTTCCAAGACACAGAATTTAGGATACTTTAAGAAGCCCAGTGCCAGGCAGCAACTGCACTGAAAACTGATAAGAGTTCCTTCCTAAAGAAAGAGATTTCACCCTATTTTATTAAGATTTATCAAGGTAAAGGGAACAAAATGTAAAAGAAGACCTAACATTTTAGATTTCAAATTGTCAAAGTTTATGTTGTAAGGCACGGTAGCATCTGCACAAAAACCAACACTGTATAGAAGAAGGAGCCACCATCTCAGAGTGAAGATAAATGCAGGACAATACACGCCAGCGTCACATCTTCCCAAGACAGAAAACATTTTTTAAATAAATCCAGAAGCTGGACTGCTTTATCCTGCAGCATCAATTGTTTAGTAACTGATCTAAGGTCAAATAGTTACTTTGGAATGAGATAGCTGGAAAAAACACTGGAAAAGTGTAAAGTTTTATATTACACCTCATGTCATAGTTAACTTATGCAATCAGTGTGTGTACAGTATAAGCAAAAGCAGCATTTTGTTGTTTTGGTTTGTTGCTACACAAACAAGGCACGGTCTCAATACATCGCTCCATGATGTTGGCCCCCATTTTTTTACAGGTTTTACATGAGATTTATTATGAATGCTTTGCTGCGAACATAACGCACAACCATATATGCTGCCTATTTCAAAAGTCCATACCTGAAATTTCTGATATTTTTTCATGCAGTGTACTGCTGCAGCTTAGCCAGATCCAAGAAGCATGTTTTTAAAATCATCAATCAATTAGTGTGTCTTTTTTTTCTCTCTAAGCTGTTACTTTATAAACACAATGAATAAATACCATTGTGTCACCAAGTCTGTTCTCTGTTTCACGCAAACTTATATATTAAAACATTGCACAATTGAATAAAACTAAATCCGATAAATTAGAAGAATTATTTGTCCAGTTTTTCCCTCGGCTGCTATATAATTTTTTCGCATTTGAACCAAAAGCACAGGCACAATGCGGACGCAGCTCCTACTGTGGTAATGCACCATCTGTTACTCTGTTAGATCTCATTTATGGGATACAAGTTCTGGCACAAATTAAATACTGGAGTGAAGGGTCTGAGATTTTAGATACAAGTCGATATATTTCTATACTTTTTTTTTGCCTGCTATCGGACAGATTTCCTCCATCAATATCAGATTTAAATATCCCTATCAAAAAAGTTTAAATTAAAAGTCTGACTTGCCAAATGGTTAAAATGAAAAACGAAAACATATTTACATATTCGGACAAACTTTTGTTATAGCAGCATATAGGGGGGATCCCTGTGCCTGCAGATGGGTGCTTCATTTAGAGAATGAAGTGTTACTCTGCTCGAATCTTAAGCCTAAAATCTCTGACTGACTAAAAAGTACAAATGTTATTTCAAAGTAAATATTCTGATTTGAACAATTAGTATACACTGAATAAAAAAAAAATCATATTGTGGTAGTTTTCCTACTATTTGGGCACTATAAACAGTTCTTTAGCTTTTATTAAACTGTAATAACAAGCTTGTGTACAGTGACTGCTAAACAGATCAATAAATGTCCTTGTCTTTCAAAACAAAAAAGTTAGTTCTTAGATTTGACTTTTAATTGTGCTCAAATTAATGATAATAAATTCTCCATTAAATTTAATACAATCCCATTCAAACTGGAAGACTGTCATTTTAGGCTCTAAAGCTGATGAAAGGACCTGTTTTTCCCTTAAGGGTTAGTTGTGGTAACATACTCTGCTCAGACATTTTAACATGATGGCAAATCAGAAAAAGTCCAAAAGATTTGATTATTAAAGCAGAACGTGCACCAATCCACATTAATCAGACTTTACAAACAGATCATTACAGTTATCAACATGCCGTAAAAAAAGACCCCAAAAAACAGGAAAGACCCCCATTGTCAGAAATATAAAGACATGCCTCTTTGATTTAGAACTTATGAATGCACCTACAATATTCCCCATTAAATAACTAAATTTGAATAAATTCAAACATTTTTATAGAACTTGTACACAGTGCAGCAACTAACAGACTTATTTAGCACAATATCTTCCCAGGGTGCACATGCATCTCAACGACAAAGGGGAAAAAACAAAAACAACTCACCCTCACCTCCTCTCTTCTTCAGGCCGGAGCTCTTTGAATCCAGCCCTGGTTTGGTTTCTCCTTCTTTAGAGGGTTCCTCCATTGGGTCTAGATGAGCCTCCTTGTTCTCCTTGCTCTCACCTCCATCATGACTGCTCTCTGATTTTCTGTCTGGTCGCTCTCTCCTCTTGTCCCTTTCTCTGCGGGAAGACGTTTTCTTTCCATCGTTGCTGGGGACATTTTGCTGTTGGCGAAATGGAAACATAAGCCTTTATTTAAACTTCTGAACCTCATCTTTAATCATCTTATTTTGCAGCACTAGTTACGTTTTAATCCCAATAACCATTCAAAAAATGCAGTAAAGTTTGTAAAGTTAGGAATCTGTTCTTTTCATCCAATAATTATAAAATGCAACATAAAATTGACCAGAAACAACAATTATTTTGTAATTACTGCAGCCTGAACAAATACCAATTTTGTGTATGACACAAATAGAAAATTATTACTGTGAGGTTAGCCATTTTCTGAGGTGTTTTAGGAAATAAAATTATTTTATAGTTTTTATAGAAGCTATTCAAGCTATAGAAAAAATGAACTCAACACAGCAAGAGATGGCTAGACTTTCAGCAGATACAAGGGAGATTGTGCTCAGGTTAATCTAAGCTGCATCATCATGAAGCCCCCCCCCACAAACACACAACTCTACAAATCGTAGGGCTGTTGAAGGAGAGGAGCAGCCCAGATGGAGTGTTTTGACCCATCTGCTTTTACAGCTGCATGATTGGCTCCATCATCCTGACAAAGTGCATCCAAATTAAGAGGGACTTGGATTTAAGGAACTGATCAGAGCACTGGGCAGGACCTCATTTATCTGCACATTAGGTGTTCTGCTCGGGTATATTTACATCCTGCCTCTGACTTTCCATGTTTTACAAAAGAGTGAACAACTACTGAAGAACTTGTCCTTTTTTCTGAGTTTTTGCAGCACTAGTGGCTCGTTTTTCAACAGTAGTCTGACAGGAAAGTGGGTATGAGAGAGGGGGAGGGACATGTGGCAAAGGTCGAATTCGAAACCCGGGTCGGCTGCTTCAAGGACTAAGGCCTCCGTACATGGGTCGTGTGTGCTAACCGCTGCGCCACCTGCACACCCTCCACCCTTATTCTTAATAGGTAAAACTATGTTCAGCATCCTCTACAACTAAATGAACTTAGCTGATATCATATGAGAGAAAAAAATATATTTTTTAAAGCCTGACTCCACCGATCTGAAGACCATGTATGATATCAAAGTCTGACTTGAGTCAATCTACAGTCTAGTCAAGGGTTTAGAAAATGGAAACAGGTGATTAACAAGCAAAACTTTTTAGGATACTTTTTAATGAGACTTGGAAAAAACAACTGAACTTTTTATAAATTTGATATTTTAAAAAAGAACCCTGATACACACTTTAACTCACAAACACACTAAGACACATACCTCTTTTGCGAGTTCTCCAGGAGTGGGCCAGTTTGTTATATCGCTGAAGTCACTAGACTGTAATAAACAACAAAATAATAATAAATTAGTACTCACAGGTTGAACCAAAAATCGTTTCAACATGTAACACGGTGCATCAGGACAGGTTGAGTCCAGTCTCCAGGAAAGGAGGTCAGTGCTCTTTTTGCAGAGGAAATGCAAACAGCAACGATAAACAGTCCAGGGCCCAACAACCACTTGGATCTTGACAATTTCGGAAAACCGATATGTGATCAAGGTTAAATGAGCAAAGTAGCACTTCACTGCTAAGCTACATAGAAGCAGAACAGAACCAGTTAGTTCCAATCCTTTAGTCTGATAGCTTCACAAATAACTGACTCTGTTGGGCCTAAATAACAAGCCCAAAAAATAAATCTTTATGGCAGAGTGAAAGATGAATTAACAAGTTTTGAGGTTTTCATATATATATATATATATATATATATATATATATATATATATATATATAGGTTTGGAAGAATTACAACATAGCTAAGAAGATGTTTGTTTTTAGCCAATCAAGTAATTTTTTCAGAGCTTTCTGTGTTAAAACAACACATTTACCTTCCAATGAAACTATGTATGTAACACCATCAACTTGTTGAGAACCATCTTGTACCTTAGATGTTTAAGAGATCAATGTTTTCAGTGTGTTTATAACTTCAAGGTATTGTGGAGGACTTTTGCAAATTTTTTTAAAGACGCCCCCTCTCCACTTTAAAGAAAAACGCACATGCACAACCCTGTACCCGCTCCTGAGAGTGAACGCATATTGAACGCGTGTGAGAGCACAATCCCATTTCTTCTCGTGCACGCTCTGTTTAAAAGTTGCTGTTCGCATAGCTTATCCAAGCTTATTGTCCGAACGCCCTAACCCCCAAATCCCTCAATCACTATATAGAGGGGGACTACCGTATTTTCATGACTATAAGGCGCATATAAACGTCTTTTTTTTCCCTCAAAATGTCAGAGCCGCTCAGACCCCCACATACCAGCGGTGCGCTATCAGTATGAATCCCATTCAACACCAGCCTCTGGCTGGGTCGCCTCCTCGCGGTTCACCGCGGCAGCTGGTAGGTGTTTTTCATCTAAATAATCTAAACTGCAGGCACCAGGATAATAAAAGCGAACATATTCTGTCGGCAGGTTTCAGGATTTTAAGTTAATTTATGTGTCAACTGTTTCACAGGAGTTATCACAGCCCTGTGTCATCAGCAATGTGTCTGTCTCACGGCCAGCTCCCAGGTTTGATTAACACTTTGTAATAAATACAATAATAAAGCACTAACATACTCAGTTTTGCTCCCGCTCTATTTTTAAATACGCAGTAGAGGTATCTAAACGCAGTAGAGGACATGTACCTGTATATAAAACTCGCACCCTATAATCCGGTGCGCCTTATGTGTGTGTTAAATACAGCAATGGCACACATAACTGAGACTGTGATTTTTAGTACGGTGCGCCTTATGGTCGTGAAAATACAGTATATAGTGGACTTTATAGCGACCCTTTATTTTACCCTTCAGACAGATGATCACTGCTTTTCGCTCCCCGTTGGTCACCTAAATCTGGCGCCAATGTGTGGTGCCTGCACCGTATATGTTATCAGCTGCCACTGTCTGGTAGCTTCTCATACACTTCTTAGAGACTTTTTTCTCTTACGAGCCTCGGCCATTTTCAAAGAACCGCAGTGAGAAAGGTGAGCTTCAATGACTGAAACCACAGATGCACATGCGCAGAAAAAGATAGCTAACAGGGCGAGCATGTGGACGGCCTTACGTAAACATATCACCAGAATGATTGACAATTAGGAGGACCACTTATTGAGATGATAAACCCTGAAATAAAAGATTGATGTTTTCAGTGCTTTGATAACTTCTAAAAAAATAAATATTTATTTAAACTAGAAAAAAAAAAAAAAATTATCTGCTGACTAGAATCCTGTAATCCTCCGGTTGACTGTCAACGGCCTGGTTAAAAACAAAAGCTTGAGTTTTAATTGTCAATAGTGAAAGATCAGAACCCACTTATAGCAGGATGTGTTAATAACGCCCTTCAGTGTAAATTTGATAATTGAAGATTAAAGGCTAAAGACCATCTCTATTTTTTTTGCTCTAGCTTGCTCCTTAGAACATGACTTGGACAAGGGTACCTTTTGGTTCTAATGTTTTTTTAAGCAAGCCGCTGTGGACAGCAGTAAAGCATACAGTAGATCTTCTCACATGACTAAATAAATACAAGCTGAAGTCACAGATCCAACATTGACATTACATTGACTCTAAGTTAGAAAAAAGTTCAACCACAGTTTAAGATCCAGCTGATCTCTTTATCAAGCTACTAGTCTGAGGCGAATACCACTAAAGGACTGCAGTGAAAAAAAAAAACAAGAAGGAAAAACAAACAAGTCCAGAGGATAGCAGTTTAAACCAGCTAACATTTAGAAGCAGATGGAAACTTCCCACTCTGTGTGTCAAAACATCAAGTCAATTTAAGAAAATGAAGATGTGAAAACTCTGAAGAACTAAAAAACATTTGTGAGTTAAAATAGTATATCATCAAATTCTGCTAGTTATCACCATGACTACTGACATATTCTGACGGATGTTGATTAAGTTCTAAGTTCTGCACAAAGAAAAGACATTTAAAAGCAGAATGGGGACAAAAGGAAACGCTGGTTGTTCATTATCTAAAGAAGACTGTAGCGTCAAAGCTGTGGAAGTTCAGAAAGAGTGGAAGCTTTACGAAAAAGAGTAAAAGACTGAAACAGAACATTACCTTGCTGGGTTTTCTCGGTCTGGGTTTACTTGCTCGGACAACTTTCAAGGCATTTTGCTGATCTGCAGACAGACGAGTGATAATAGAAATAGACATCATCAAATGTGGCAGACAGGAGAAGTCCAAAATCTAAGAGTCAAGTGTTTGAAAAAAAAAAAGAAAAAAAAAAAAGGTGCGAGTAGACAACTGTTGCTTAACACTGCAGTTAACAAGTCGAGTCATCTACTCTTGCACCGTCTGATGTGCTGTTTGGTGAGCATAAGACAGTATCAGTCAGAACAGAAGAAATATAGAATAAAACCCCTAAAGGGACTGAACTTGTTGAGGGTGTTTTGAGTACACACAGCAGCGGTATGCAGCTGCATCTCTGCAGGCTGGGAGTGGCCCGCTGCTGCCTGACGGCTCCTATCACTCAGTAGAGGATGGTTGGATTGATAAGACACACCGGGCACAGGCTTCAATGTGAATGGGTGTACGCCTGAGCGAGCCGTCGGTGTCCACCCATAGAGCTGGCTGTACAGTAACCCTGTAAACTGATGCCTGTGCCAGAGATCGGGGGGTTCAAATTTAGACCGTTTGCTCTCTGCTCTGACACACATTCATAACTCACGTTTGGCTGAGAGGTTTCAAATCCACAGCAGACTGAAGCGTTCCCTCCTGAGCCTCCCATTGCATAAACAACACGCAAAAATCTCACCTATGCTGATGGAAAGTCTTTTGGAGCTCACTAACGAAGCAAACAGGAGAAAGTAATTGATTGAATTTTAAAACAGATATTTAGCTCCTACATCCAAAGCTCTGCAAATTAAAGCTGCTAGACTTTCTCTGACCCAAACAGAACCGCCATATTCTATTCATATGCTAAAAAGTTTCTTCAGCTGTGTTAGTAAAAGTGTTAATTACATCTTGAACCATATTACTAGAACCTCTCTTGAAGCCACAGTGTCAAATGTGAGAAGGTTTGCTTTATTTAGTGCTTGGAGCTTTCTGAAGTTTCCTTTTGGCCTTATTTCTTATTACCTAGTGAAGTCCGAAGCAGGACTGTTGTCAAAACCCAATGCAGAAAATTTATTTTAAAATTACTTTAGATTCAAAAAGATTTATCAAATCTAAATTTTTATTGTTTTCTTCCCACAATTCCTGAACCTACTCTAAAGAAGATAGTGGTTATAAGAGCTATTTCTGTTTTCAGCATAAATTAGCATAGTATAGTATTAATTAGTAATAGTAGTCTAGCTTAAAAGAGTTTTACATACATATTACATTTTGTGACCATCAACCCCTGAATTAGCGATCTAACAGTCTGGAAGACAAAAAAAACAAAAATAAAATTAATCCAGTTCACTTTTTTCTGCCAGAAAAAAAAACTTTAATAATAATAATAATAATAATAAAAAACAAACAATTTAGCTATAAGAATGGTATATAGTTAGAAATTATTACGTTTACAAATGAATCCCTTCATTCTTCGTGTATCTTTATCCAACTATTTCCCAACAACTTTCTCCATATTTATCAAATTTTCTCTCAATATCTTCATCTGTTCTTTATATTAACTTGCTTAGCGAGGTCAGTATTGTAAACCAGTGAGAGCATTTCAATTCTAACCCGTCATCGTGGGATGTGTTAATTTCCTTGCTGCCTAGGAGGGGCGGGGCCTGAAGCACCTAAGCTATTTTCTATAGCTGGATAAAGAGGAGAGGAGGAGCATGGCTGCTCCTCCTCTATATTATTAGGAGGGCTATTTTCACAACTTCTGGGTCGCTCAAAAAATAAAAGCCTTTTTTTAACAGATGCTTTTGCGACACCTTTTGCAGCTCTGTCTGGAGGGGGTCCATATCATTTCATAAAAAGGCAATATAAAACAAGTTTTTTTTTTAAATATACCGGTAGTAAAGATAATAATAAATTAGCTCTATTTAAAAATAATTTTTTTTTTCCTACTCAGTTCTGCATAAAAACCTAATTATTCTAGTTATAGTGACAGTTACATTTTTTCATAAATGCATTTACCAAACTTCAAAGAAATGTAATGTGCTTATGTATTCATAGTTTTTCTATGAGGGTTAAAAAAGGAACTCAAGTTCCTCCTGTTTCTGCTCTGAAAGTCAAAACAAGCAAAATTACTTCAGACTTCAATGACTGGAACAATTTTAGGTTGACAAAGACTCAACTTGAAGTGGGGTGGCCATGAAAACTGAGTGATCAGGGGACTGTGATGGTCAGAGAGGTGAACAAGAGAGTGGCCAGATTAAAGCCACTCCTTAGGAACAAACAGACTGAAGCATGCCAGAACCCTCCCTAAGAACTTTTTGACCATAAATTGTTTTTGTCTTGAGAAAAAGACAAACTGGAATAAATGTCAAGTTTATGTTTGCAGGAAACCAAACATCACTCATCACAAGGCAAAAAAGTATCCAATAAGGAAGCATTGTAGAGGCAGCATCATGCTGTGGGAATGTTTTATCAGCAAAAGGAACTGGGAGACTAATAAGAGGTAAATATACATACAGCTATGTGCAGGGACAACTTGGTACAGAGTGCAAACAGGGGTAACGGTTCATCTTTCACCCTCAGACATACAGCCAAGACATGAATACAGTTGCTTCAGTACAACTCAGAATATTCTATTTGGCCCAGTCGGAGTGTAAATCAGACTGAACATCCAGTGGGAATCTTAAAAACATTTGTGGACAGCCTTTCTGACTGCAAATGAAGAAGCTTGAAGGGATTTTCATAGAGGAATAGAGTACAGCACTCAAAGCTGATGTGGCATTTAGGAAGACCTAAAGCTCCATGCCTAAAAATAAAATACCTATGTACACGTTTCACTATTCATTTTGCTTTTTCACATCATAAGGGCTTTGTTCCGTTTTAAAATCAGCTGCTATTTAGACTTAGACTTATTTTGTCATTTTGTATATACAAGTGTATACAAAACGAAACTGCGTTTAAAACAGCTCTAGACACTTTCATTTTTTAAAGTGCAGCCTTGAAAACAGTAACAAATACATTAAAAAATAGTAATACAAACATATGACTGTATATTTACAGTTCTAACTTTTATTTTATCTTTTATTTACAAAGCAAAATGTAGAAAAGGGGCTGGATGCATCTAGATTAGTTAGAATGAAGCTGAGATTTAAACAGGGAGAAATGGCCTAATGCAGAAAAATAAACACTCCATATATTATATATATGTCTGTGTGTGTATGACAATTTGTTAGCTAGATTATCAATACACCTACATTTTTTCTTCCAACCTTCCAAATGCAAATCTAATATCAGCTTACTTGTGAGTTTTTATAAATTATATATTTTTAGATCCTCTCCAGGAATGTGGATTAACAAATCATTTGATGCAGGTGGTTATTTTCAGCGTTAGTTTGCTTTCCCAGCTTGAAAAAAATGAAGTACAGATTAAATAATTTTAAACTGCACGCACAAAACATCTACTTTTTTGTGGTCACTCCATTTTTTTTTTTTTGAAAAGTAACTCAGAGGGAAACTGAGTGGGTTTCCCGGCTGTTTTAGCACCTTGTCAAAATCTTTTAAGTCATACAAGATAAATTTCTTAAGAAAATAACTGATCATCTTAAAGGATTATAGCAAAATGGTTGGTTCAATTAAAATTCCTTATCTATCTGTGGTTTAATCTAATCTACAAATCCCACAGCATGGCTACATGTCATCTAGAGCCCTGGTCTGCAGATCCACCTGCTCAGACACCTTGTCCACATACGTGTTCTCTCCCAGTGACAGCAGACTGGTGGGAGGAACAACAGGCAGCCAACCCATTGGACATGAGGAACGTGCCTTTACAGCAGCAGGAGCTGCTAGCCTGTTCGGATTAGCATCAACCACCGACACCAGCTAGCTGCTCGAAGCTGAAGTCGATCTTATTTTAAACCGAGCTGTTCTTCAGCTCCTATCTCACAAATATCAGTCTCTCCCCGTTGCCATCGCCACACCAATAAAGCGAGGTGCAACACAGCAGAGCGCTGATAGTAGCTTAAGAAGTAGCAGTTGTCAGCATTCTACACGTGGTGCTCATGAGCAATCCGAGCACGGGGGGATGGGGCAAATATCCTGTTAACACCACCTCTGATCTTAGTATACATTCTGATATTTTATTATTCTTTACTAATCTCTGTGGGAAAGCTGACATGTAAAAATTAAGGTGGGATTTCCTATATTGAAGGCATTAAAAAGCTGAAAAGGTGTGAATACTTAGCATTTTAAATATGGATCCAGCTTACCTGTCTCAGGGGAGCTGGAGTTGATGTTACCGACCGGTACTCTGCCCGTGGTTCTTTTTGTCCAAGGGTTAACTTTCGGTGGAGGAGCTTCAACAACTTTCTTCTCAACGGTCGAGTCAGCGTCACCGCTCCGTTCATTCTCTTTATCGTTTTCTTTGCTTTTCTTATGGCTGTCCCCCTGGCTCTTGTTCGTCTCGGGTTTGTGGCAGTCAGTCTGTTTTTCCGAACCTTGATTCTCTTGTTCTTTGTGGAAATGAGCCCCCTCCGACTTGTCCTGCACCCCGCCGGAGCTGCTCGCTGTCAAACCCGAGTCAACTTGGCTACACTCAACCTCAGTGGACATCCTGCTGGTTTGCTGGCAGCGCGCGGTGTTAAAGCCAGTGTGGATTCTTGGTTCTTGTTTTCTTTGCACAGAGAAAAGTCGTGAACAGCTCGGGAGGTGACCACATCCACTCGAGGTAAACAGATTTTGGGCTGGACCTCGCTAGCCCGCTAGCCGAGACGCTCCTGCAGCTAACTGTTAGCTAGCCTGGGACCATGCAGAAGCTGGCGAGCCCGAGTCAGACGTTTTTTCCCGCGATATTTAACACTTTCATATCATTTAACAACTTGTTTAGTTAGCTTTCACAAACGCCACAAGCTCTTGTTTGCTTCTTGGGGACTTTGACTAACTTTAGAGGGGAAAAAACTACTACAACGACCTCCTGTCTGTCTCTAATTTCACCTCCACGCTACCAGCAACGAGCTCGTGCAGCAAGCTCTCCTAGTCCTGTAAACACTGACTCTCCTGCCCCCAGTGGCCATTCCTAGGAACTGCAATGCAAATATTTACAACTTTTTTAACACAAAATGGAATAGCTGTTTTTTGCAATTTACGGACGAGGGTTAGAGCCACTGAAAAAAAAAAAGCTAACTGATTTTTAAATTTTATTTCAGTTTAATATGGGGAAAAAGTCAGAATTCTGACTTTTTCCTCAGAATTCTGACTTTTTTCTTGGAATTCTGACTTAAATCTCAGAAGTCTGACTTTTTTCTTGGAATTCTGACTTTTTTCTTGGAATTCTGACTTTAATCTCGGAATTCTGACTTTAATCTCAGAATTCTGACTTTTTTCTTGGAATTCTGACTTTAATCTCGGAATTCTGACTGTACTAACTTGTATAGAGGAAATGGAAAATGTATTTTATACAAATAAATGACTGAATTAGATGCATTTATTTTACAATCAATTTAAGCATATAAAATATATGAACTTTTAAAATGTTTATTACTTTCATGAGCCAATGCATACTGATCTAACCCTAAGCTAGATTCCAAAAATTTATATTTCTGTTTAAATCAGCCAGAAAGGAAGGTACCTTGACTCACATTTAAATTTTAGTGTTGTAATAATAAATCCATGTGAAAAATTAGGTAAAGATTACCAAACCTTAGTTAATCCAGTGTTAATCTTCTAGTGCCAATGGAAAAGGTATTTATAAAATGCAAAAAATGCATAACCCTGGAACTATTTCACCCTTTGCTTTGACACAAACTTCAATGTGCTTCAATTTTATGTAATTGATACCGGTCAACTCTGCGACTGGATGCCCTCTGGACTCTTGAAAAAAAAAAAGGATCCTAACTAAATGAACATCACTGTTGGATAATGTCTCCCACCTCATGCATGAAGCTGTTGCAGAACTGGAGAGCTTCTTCAATGACAGACTGCTGCACCCTAAATGCACCAGGAAGTGTTATCACAGATCCTTCCTCCATGCAGCTGTAAGACTCTCTATAACCATCACTGTTCCCAACAACCTAAATAAGTTGTTACATTCATGCTGATTTTTTTTCACAGTTTCTACCATAGTCAGTAAAATAACATGCTGCTGTCATTTTGCACATCTCTGATGTTGCAGCTATTTTCAAATGTCCATTACTGTAAAAATGTCCACTGTCATATATTTGTTATTTATTCTCCAGGTGCACAGTATTTATGTTGTTAAAACTCTTTGCTGTAAAGTATTTTATTTGTATATTTTTTTTAACTCTTAACTATTATGTTATTTGTGTACTCTCTTCTGAGGTCCATATTTGTGTGACAATTTCTTCTATAATCTTTTTCCTGCTGTAACACAAGAATTTACCCATTGTGGGACAATAAAGGGATTTTCTATTCTATTCTATTCTATTTTATTCTATTCTATGTAATTGATATTGGGCATCAAGGGAAGTGTACCGAGGGGGATAATGCCCAGAGTGGTGCTTAGTTGTGAAGTGGAAAGAAAGTGATGAATAAGTTTGATCACCTGTTGTCGGGTCTTTAATCTCCTCCACAAGCTGTAGGATTGTTTTATGAGACATCTCCTGCTGCAGCCAGACAGCTGACACCTCTGCTGTAAGAAAATCTATTTACTCATTTAAATCTTCTGACTCCTTGGCTGGTTGCCGCTTCATTTGCCCAGTGTTTTTAACCATCGTGCTAACATTTAACCTTGGTATGAACAGAGGTGAAGCCCTTTGAAGGTTGGTGAAGAACATAATTTCCATAATATTATCTTTAAAATAGGAGCTACTCCTTTCCGTGTCTGATCTCTCTCCTGCCAATTGGTTGTCGTTAAGGAGAGCTCCCAGTAAGCTGGTTTATACTGGATGTTTTTCTCCTGATAAAAGGGACATTTTACTCCACTGTCCCCAGAGCCCCATGGGACTGCTGCAAAGTTAACGACTTAACGCAATCACTGTCCTCTATCACTACACGTTAGTGGAAGAGGGATTGCTGGAAAATCAGTGGCTTAATGCAAATTGGCTTTATTTAAATTAACAGAAAATCTTTTTTTTTTTTTTAACAAAGCTGCATGAACTAAACTTGAGTCCATTTATAATAACTATTAGGTTTTAACATACTGAGAATCTGTGGATGATATAAAAGGACCACATATCTGTAAATATATACCTAGTAAATCTGTTTAGCTTTTTAAATTAGTCCATTTTAAATGATTTAACTCATCTAACATAAACTCAATTGAATCTTAAAACAGAACCATGAAGACCAAGAAACGCAGCAAAAGGGTCAGGGAGTGATGTCATCAATTGGTGAGAAGGAGCTGGATTATAGAATAATTTCAGAAACTACAGAGGTGATTTCTTTATGCTGTAGGGAGGCTTTTCTTCAGGAGGGAAAGGTTCATAGTAAGAGTTAAAGAAATAGTTTATGAAACTGGAAAAACATGTTGCTGGGGTGGAGGTTGACTTTCAGCAGTACAGCAACTCTGAAGACACAGCCAAGCTTAACTGGGATGGTTTAGATCAAAGCATAATCCTGTGAAAAAGACCCAGTCAAAGCCCACACAGAAATCCATTTTATTCCTGTTGGAAAACCATGCTCTTCTATACGCTGTGCATCCAATGTGAAAGAATTTGCAAAGAAGAGTGGACAATATGACTGGTTCATAGATGGATAAAGTTACCAGAAATGTAACCTGAAATGAGCGTAGCTGTACTTTCTGAAATATCTGGGGGAAAAAAAGAAATTTAAATGAGATTTTAAAGTGATTATGAATGCATACATGCAACTTCTTAAACATTCATAATTTCCTATCACTTTACTTTTTGTATTTGAAAAATATGTGACAATGAGAAAGCAAAGAAAGGCAAGTTTATTTAAATAGCACAATTCAGTACATAGACAAAAGGTGCTTTACATGACTTAGACAATACAATAGAATAAATACCTCAGTTAACAGTTTAACTTCAGCAGTCAAAGTTAGAAACAAATGGGTTTTTAAGTGTGACTTAAAAAAATATCAGAATTTCAGCACATTAACCGTTTTCTGGGAGTTTGTTTCAGATCAGTGGAGCATAGGAACTAAATTCTGCTTTTTTCCATGTTTGGTTCTAGTTCTGGGTGAACAGGGTAGGCTTGAACTAGAAGACCTGAGTGGTCTGAGAGGTTGAAACACTGACAACAAATCTAATAGGAAGAAGTTCAAAGGCCACGGATACATTTGGAAGACACTGTCAGATCATTTAAGGTAAATTTCAATACTTCTTATTTGTGAAAAAAGCTCATACATTAAAGTCTTTGCTTCACATTTTTTAGAGGGTTTTATGGTTGCATTGGGAAAGAGGAAATCAGACCCTCAAGCCCCTCCCCTCGTCACATGCACATTAGAAGCGAAAAGCAGAGTTACTATCATAATGTTCCTAAAATAATTTTAAGGTAAAAGGAAGCTCCTGGAGTTATCAGATAAAAATATGTTCACACATAATATGTGTTACCATTTATATCAAAAGATTAATGCATACTAAGAGGTGTCTAAATTGAAAGAATCTCAACATGCTCCCAACCCAGTGTTCTGTCAGATGAGCATACCTCGTCAGACCAGGATCCCTATAGTCAATACGCATGTGCAAGACGTCAGATTCATGTTTATCCCTTTAGTTTTCTATAAAAAATAGACTTTAAACTACCTCAATGGGCATGTATCCTTTTAGTCATGTACAAAAAAAACAATTGAAAGTGAGATTACCATACGCTTAAAAAAAATACCAAAAAGTAAGTAATTAAATTGTTTTTTGTACATGACTAAAGGGTTACACGCCTGTTGAGGTAGTTTAAAGTTCATTTTTTGAACAAAACTAAAGGGGAAAACAGTGATTAATTAAAGGAATAAACAGGTATTGACTGCCCGTGTATGCTCATTTGACAGAATACCGGCACCATAAAATGACCTGGTAAGGATGTGTAGATAGCATGTGAGACTACGATATTGGTTTTCATTCATTAAAGTAAAAACAACTGTTCTAATCATCCCAAGTAACTGGTTATAAAACCATTGGGGGTTTAACTGCATCAAGCATCTGCAGGATTATTTCCAAATCAGCCACATGTCAGTGCATTTAAATTGACTCTTAGTCCAGACTTTCATTAGGCCGCTGTTCAATTAGCATTTTCTGAATAACTCAGAGGTTGATTTGCAAGTGTGAGTCCAACAACATCCAGATGTGGAGATCATGAAGCAAAGAAGGAGACTGAGACTGTACCTTCCACCGCTGTGATTACGGTAACTATGGGGATCATGTTCATCCGCTTTTGTCTAGTCAGCCCTGAGAATATGTTTTCTCAAAATCTTATAGATCATGAGGATGTTTTCTGATAAACTTGAGCTGGATCTTTGTGCAATCTTTGCTCAGCAGGGGTCTTGAACTTCGCAACTGAGTCCAGTTTGACCAGTTTATCTCTTTCTGAGGAAGGGGATGCCTGCCGTGCCTGTTCTGGGCTCTTTGGAGACCTTCTGGGTGATGCTTAGAAGCTTTTAGACTTATTTTGTCAGACTGGCTAAAGTTTTCTTTGTAATTGTTGTTTATGGCTTTCACTGAGGTCCCCTGGCTTCTAACCTTTTGCAGACTGATATTTATTTATTCTTTTATTCCTCACCTGTTTGTGATTCTTTTTTTTTTTTTTATTTAGTTCAGAGCAAGATGTGTTATTTATGAAGAGCGTTTATTCTGTCTACAGGACTGTTACTCTAAAAGGCTGGAGCAATATGGCTAGTTTTATTCAGCTTTATAAAATATTGAATCAATTCTCTTAGTCAGCTTTGCCATAGTTTACCTCATCCTAGATGATATGACCCAGAGAACAGACTCAAGGTTTGTGAAATGATGCCTGCAGAACCATCTCCTCATCAACACAAGGAAAACCAAGGAGCTGGTGGTAGATGTCTGCAGGTGCAGACTCACCTCACCGACATCATGGGACATCCAG